ACCGCTCAAAAATAAATCGAAGTGCAAAAATATAAGTCGAAGGGAAACGGAAGTCACTGAGATATTAGCGGATATGGTCTATGGTCATACAAAACCATAGATATAGTAGGACTAGATTGCTAACGAGTGTGACGTAATATAAGACTTATTAAGACGGCAGCGTGACATTCATGATAAATCCAAGATGGCGCGGGATCCGGGCAAAAAACTTAGGGCTACTATTAGGCAATTGTTGTTTTTTGCAGTTTACTTCGTTTCAGTGTTTTCAAACTCCTCCAATCAAGTTTTATTGGAAACAAAGCGTTATTAATAATGTTTTGAAGCCATATTGGACAATTATTATTGGAATACGTGCGAAAATATCGCTTGCGAAGTGTTGTGTAAATTGGTCGTTTGGTTGTCTCGATGCGTTTGTTTACCAAAATAAATGGATTTCGTCCGCTTTAGCTCCCATACTGGTTCTTCCACGTTGAAATACATCATATTGAATACATACAAAAAGATGGGAAAATTATTCTTCATATTTTTTACATAAATTTCACTTCAAGATGCTATTCGTTCTTTCAATCTTCAAATATGTGTTGACACTTAACAGATGGATGTACACAATACATGATTATAAAATGTATAATCATGGATTGTGTTGGCTTGATATATTGAAAATAACCATCTTTCTTACAAAAGCAGATTGTGATGACCCAGGCATCCTCTTTCTAAATGCATCCCACAAATTAAAGACATCTTGACTAAATATGTAATGAAAATTTTCAGGGCTACCAGGCCACCAGCCACTCTCAATTATACTGTCAACAGAAATTGGTGACCACTTCCAAATGAAGAGCAAATGTACAGTGAACCAATTAAGATGAAATCGTCCTGTTGAAGACAAAATATAATCAAGAATAACCAGTACAGTGCTGAAAATATGTGCTTCAAAGAAATCAAATCCTGGGGTTTCATAAGAAGCCAGCAACTTCATCAATGATTTGAAGTTTTTAGTTTCAATCTAAAGTCTATGAATTTGTGTATAATCCAACCTGCTGCCTATGTACTTTTCTAAATGTGACTAAGATAATGAGCCCCTAACAAATCTGATTTTAATAAGATGCATCATATGTACATCCATATATCAAAAATTGTTATTTGGACTCTGTAAAAAAATTGCATAAGGACATTTTGACCTTCACATTGATCATAATCACAAGAGAGCTGTTGGTAGTTTTGATGATAGGTTCATTACACAACTGACATGATGATGGGTAAAGGATGGGACATGATCGATCTACAAAGATAACAGCATCATCACAGAAAAACATTTCTCTCATATTGGGCACAACAAAAAAAAACAAATATTTATATAAAATTCATAAGTATGTACATTATACTTACCAATGCTGCAAATCTTTCCATCAGATGAAATGGATTGTGTTGGCTTGATATATTGAAAATAACCATCCAACCACACTTCTCGATCATAGAGAGGATTATTCTTATGGACATCATCGCATTCTTGACAAATATATCTCAACACACCACATTGTCTGCATCTCAGTACAGCTTCATTTTCATTGCATCTACAACACTTCATAGCAGATAAAGGAGGAGCAAATGATGACACAGTGACATTGAATATTTTTTCCCTCGTACTTTCCCAATTTTCTTCTCGATTTTCCATTCTTTTTTGCCAAGCAGATGGCCCAGTATCCACTTCTCCAATAACCAACTGACAGCTTTCAAGAATGGCTTCAAGATCTAAAATGAAAATGAAATGATTTTATGACGTAAAGCTGTTTCCTTTTCTATTTTTTTTTCTAAAATATGACACAATTATAAAAAGAGTACATTGAAGTGTTAAAAGCACAGTCACATGTGTATAAAAATATAAAAAACTATGTATAGATGCAGTGGCCTGGACAGCACAAAAGTTTTGCTTTTGTTATGTAAAGTTGAGATGTAAGAAGTATTATCAATAACCTCTTTAAAAAACGAAGGCAAACGTTGCCAAAATTTATTGGGAAATACGCCACGTTGTGAGAACTAGCTTTCGTGGCCTCGCGAAGTCTTTCAAAGAAAAACTTTTCGTCCCATTGCTCAATAGAAACTCCCGTCATGAGAATTGGAGGAACACGAGGAAGGACCTGGGAACGAGGTTTTTCATAATCCTATGTAATGATAACAATCAAACCTTGTGATAGCCTTGGTGTTTTTGATGCCATTCTGGATGTTTCCAATACTCTGGATGGACCTTAAAACATCAACTTCAACTTTTAATCTAGTATTAAAATCGCTCAGTCACAAATTAATTAAGAATTAATCTGAGCATGCGCAGTCAACTCCACCAACTCCCAAAGTTTGTGGTCATGGCAACGACCAACTGGATGTACTAGTATTAATTATGGAGTAAGTAGCTCGCTCAGTCACTAATTCTCGGATAAATCATCTGCGCATGCTCAGTCTTCATGAGTATGCGCAGTCGACTTGACCAGCTGCACAAGTTCATGGTCATGGCAACGCCCAACTGCATGTACTAGCACCGATTTTGAAGTAAATAGCATGCTTACTAACAATTTATTAGAGAAATACGTTTATACGTTTTTTACTTGCTACCTTTTACAATGTAAATTTCTCCTAACTCTCTCAAGATGAACAAGAGCCACCTTATACAATATAACGCTCTCATCATGAACGAAAGCATCCATGGGCTTCATGGAAAAAAGAGATTATCTACTTTTTTGTAATAGTTTCTACAAAGATAACATTTAATAAGCCAAGCAATTTGTATCGTCTGAATTGAAACGTATCGTAAGAATCCTTACTAAAAAGATCATTCACGCCACAACATGCCAGTATTGAAGCTTTCCTTCGATTGTTAACGCAAAATGGTTAAAATTTACTGTCATGCCTGCTACCTTTATTAATAATCGTTCTGAATAACTAGATACAGATTAAAAAATGCACCAAAACTCCTAACCATTTTATTGCCACTATTCTACATAAGATTTGATTGTAGTTTGATCTTGTATTTTTGACACGTGTGTTTACCGTCCGAAAGGTGAATTAAATAGCCAAAATAACATCGGTTGTAAGGAAATTTTCTTCATCTTACCTCCTGTACAAATGTCTGAACTCTTTCTCGAAATGAAGGATTCTTGAGCAACAAAAATGTCACAAGTAGATTACAAACTTGAGCTTCTTTTGATTCGTAATAACGCAACACCTAGCAAATGACAATTGCAGGAATAAAACAATGGCTAACGTCAACAATGGTTTGTTCACATATGTACAGCCAAACTCACCAAACATAAAACAAGACGATCTATGGTGAAGATATGATATTTCCATACCATATCATGAAGACATCCTGTGCGCTATAAAAGAATTTCAAACTGTAGCAAGTATATGAGTGTGAATTACAGTATACAGTCGCACATAAAGGCATGTATTCTAAGGTATATTCTTGTACTGGTACATACAGGCATGTACTCTTAGGTATATTCTTGTACTGGTACATACGGGCACGTACTCTTAGGTACGTTCTTGTACTCTTGTGTGTTCCATCATTTATTTATAGATTTGAACACCATACACAAACATCTTAAGATATTAATACTCAGTTTAATAATGCAAAATTCAAACCTTCGTGATTTCCTCTGATGTAATAATGGAATAATCGTATATAAGAAAATCAGAAAATACGCGGATCTGTTTGGTTAACGCTCTGGCTCCTAACTTAACCAAAACTCTATGAAGAGAATAAAAAGAAAAGAAAAACAGTATTTTGTTCATTTGTAAAAAGTAAAATAAAACTTACTGAAGACAAATTTGGTTCACACGACCACTTTCCAACAAACACTTCCAGATAATGCTAGATGATAGACGGTAAAAACAGTATTCAAAACTTTGCATTTATTTTGAAAATGCGACGACAAAAAAATGGCTACAAGAACATGATTACGTAGAGAAGAAAAGACGCAAATGAATTTTAAATTGCTTACCAAACAAATATATTGGGTGAACCTGGTTCACCAAAATAATTCAATATTTCAGCCTGCGATTTCATGTCTGAAATGAAGAGAAAATATAATTTCATAAAGGGATGGATCTTGGATGATTTTAACTGGGGGGGAGGGTTAGGGTTTCCCAACCGGATGTAATCGGACGTCAAACCATTACATAATCAACTATTACAAAGTTTCATCGAAGATGAAGCGCGTAAATCAAATAGTTTGCACAGCATCGATAACTTACTTTTAAATTTCACGTATTCTTCTTCAACTCTCTGTTTTAAAGCAGGTTTGCTTTCTACTGGAATGATTCGTTGGGCTAAGAAGTTTTGAATGGGTAGCGGGAAATGTTCCAAAGTATGTTTGGACCAACTATGAAAATACAAACATGTAGGTAAATGAGGAGCACAAGGGAAACAAAATGACAAGAAAGGATATAGATTAAAATATCGCCATACTTCATGGGTGTTTTTTCAACAATTGTTTTCAAGATATCGTCGTACCACTGAGAGGAATGTTGCTCTGTTCCTGAAATGATAAAAAAGTCTTTGACAATTATCATATAGAAAATGCATATAAGAACATGAGAATATATCAAATTGACAATTATCATATTGAAAATGCATATAAGAACATGAGAGCATATTAAATTGACAATTAACACATTGAAAATGCATATAAGAACACGAGAACACATTAAAATTACCTGATATATGTATCGCTCGTGCAATGTTCAAAATAAATATCCTGTTTAACTCCTCAGACTCAGCAGACACCAGCTAAATTATATATTTCAAAGAAATCAAAATTCGTATACTGTACACGTACGTGAGTAGATAGTTTGTTGATGTTGATCGTGCAGGTTGGTATAGTCCTGAGAAGGACTGTTTTTGTTGTTGTTGACTGACGTTTCTACAACCTTTGCGGTAGTCATCACGGGTTCAAACCATTTATTACGCTCATTTGGGTAGACAGTTAAAATTTTTCTAAGCTTACCATATTAGGTTTGTGTTTTGTAAAATACGACTCGACGACATGATTCTCGAGACCTTGAATTAAACAAAACGCTGTGCTTTCCAGGCTGAAAACATCGAAACATAAAAGATTAAAATTACTTTACTACTTTTATAACAAAATCGACGAGTGTGCCTACAAACAAACACAACGATATCAACATCTGAATGATGTAGTTTTGACCTTCACTGTAAGACATGAAAAACGAACACCTTAATTTCTTTACTGAGCGGGGTGGGGAGGAGGAGAGAGCACAGTGATTGATTGCAATTACCATAAATGGAGTTGATAATTTTGATTCGTCTGCGGTATTGCAGCAATTGAGTGTATAAGAGACATGAGATGAACACGATAGTTCTGGGGAATAAACGGTAAGCGATAACTAAACATTTCCAGAAGATTGTGCAAGATACCCCAAGCTTTGTGTTCAAAAACAACAGGAAGCACTTGACCTAGGGAAAAAACAAATTTCAGCTGCAAAGGAGGTCGGAACCGAAGTTAACAACACACAAACATACAATTCATGCTTTCCATTAAACACAAGCAATAATAAATAATAAAAAAAACTATTTTTTGGCTGAAACTCTATGGATGTGAAAAGACCAACGAAATGCCACTTTTGTTTAAACTTACTAAAAACATTTCTGATGCTGGGAATGTCATTTTCTGCCAACAAAGAGCTGTAAGTTTCTAACATTACATAAAATAATGTTGTGTTCGGATCTTTCTTTCCAATAATATTACTTATGTTGAACAGTAAACTGAAACAAATGTTTAGCGAACACGGCCTATTGAGATTAAACATTCAGCGGATTCGGCCATTAACAACAAATTAATGGAAAGTTCATTAAGTCGAGTACCACATCCTTTTTCTCAGTCTCCAGTAAGGAATTGATAGTTTTCCACAATTCTGTAAATGCCGAAAGGAACTTCTCATCTTTTTCGTTGTCATGCGTTTGGTCTCGTGCTATAAAGCTGAAGAGTTAAATGAAATAAATGTTACTTCTTGATCAGACAAATGCCCATACGGACAAGCTATCTCTCAATAATGATTATTTCTTTCCCTAAATGTAAGTTTGGAGATGTTTTATGCTTAACTTAGCAAAGAATTAAATTAAATGAGATATGATCTTCGCACTTAGTTGGACAATTTAAGCAATCGTCTCAGATCATATCTCATTTAATTTCAAAACACCGCACTGCATAAAACATTCATATGACATTCATTAGCAAAGAATTACATGGAAACACAATTGACTTCACCTGGAAAACACCAATTGAAACTCGTTGATTTTCTGAAAAAGAAATGAACACATGAGAACAGTTTGGTAAACATGAAAATCTATATTTATCAATACTCACAAAATACTCATTCACAAGCACATTGAACCGATTAATTTGAGCCTCCATCAACGTTTGTGGAATTTAAATGATTTAAAAGGCCTTCACAAAGAAAAGCTTGACAAGGTAAAACAAGGAACTCGTCTTTAAGAACACGAATTCTTGATGTTGATAACACCTCTTCGTTACCATAATCCACGTAGCGAACACGTACACCTTAACATAAAATATTTTTTGCTTTGTTATAAAGATTTGAATGTTAACACGTTAGAAACTACTTAAAAAAATTCCTACACAAAAACCCTTTCATTGACAAACCTTCTGGTACAACTTCAACAATTTCAGCACGATACCACCCATCATCTTCAAGAAATTGACCACAACAAGGACGTCCGACGTCGTAATTGTGAGCAAGTAGTTCTTCGGGACCAAGGCTACCATATACTTCATCTAAGTGGTTCATAAGATCATTTAATTCCGTTTCATTGGTTGATAATAGACACCAAAGTTTCTTCGGTGATTCAATATGAGAACACGTAACATTCTTATCGTCGATATTGAATTCATATACAACAAAACGTTGAATTTCGTGGATTTCTTTGTTATTTTCAATGAGTTTCGATACTGACACATTTTCATATTCCACAACATGACTCAAAATGTCCTCACCATCACAATACAGCTTTACCAACACACCATCGTCATTATTTGTGGAAATTTTACAAAGTAACTCATTTTCCGAAAACATTTCAAGAAGTTTACCAGCAGTATTTTCACACCATACCCCGTCAACTGTCGATAGATCCAAAGAGCAACAAAAACAAAACTCGGGCAAATTACAAAATCTTTCATTTATCGGAGCAAGTTCATCAAACAAAAGCCATTCTTTATTACCATGGTCAACATAAAAAACACTGACATTGTCCCCATCAACTTCTAATATCTAAACACAGAAAGACGATATTATGAGTTAACAAACGATAAATCAAAGCTTTTCACTGTTTCCTAATGTCTACTGATAAAACCGACGTATTTTATGATCGAGTTTACACGACTAACGTTTACAGATCATACATTCACTTCACCTTTGCTCGGTACCAGGCCTCGTCTTCAGTAAAGCGAGCAAGGCAATAGTCTCCAACTTCGATTTCGTTCTTTGTCAATCGGATCTGAGGAGGATCGTTTGCTATATCGTCCATCAAAGTCTCCAAATCACTTAAACTACTACTTATTTGAAGTATCGCATCTTTAGCTGCGGTTGCGCTGACAATGTATACAGGTAACTCGTCTGCAGGTTTTAAAATCGGTTTCGGAATACATTGTTTTCCATTGCTTGGGGTCTCATGAGATTCTTTACGAGGGTTCAACAATTCGTTAATTGGTTGCCCGTCATCTACTAAGGTTACAAGCCAAAAGTTGTCGCAGAATTCAATAAAAGTAGCCATTAGTGGTTTATCCACAACGGCCGTGACGAAAATCAAGTTCTGTTCCTGGGACCAAGGTCCGCCCGAAAGTCGGCAAGGTACAGCTTGACAAGGCGACGATGACAGTTCAGCGGTTGGACGTCGTAGATCAGAAGAAGTATCAACCACATCCGAGTTTCCGTGGTCAACGAATCGAACCGTTGCCTTTTTATCGTCGAAATCGACAGTAAGGATTTGAGCTCGGTACCAGACTCCATCTTCAGAAAACCGCGCACAGCAAAACATATTCTAAAGCATATAATTAGATGATCAACAACAATCCGATGTTGAGCCTTCAGTATATAGTGGTTTTAAATTAGCTAAATCTCTATGATTTGATTGAAAAGTCACGATAATCTTATAGAGACCATGAATTGCATGTATCACAAACTTAAAGCAAACGCTAAATAAACGAAGACGGGTCGACTAAAGAAATGGTGAAAATTTTGTTACCTCTTTCACATTGTCCAGTTTGTAGTTATCACCATCAGGCCAATAATTATAGATTTCGGCAAATCTCGCAAGGCGTTCGAGCTCAGTCTCCGCTGTCGCAAGCTGAACAAAGAACTCGCGTGGACTGACCACGTGACTGGTGAATACTTGGACAGTCGTTTTCTCAACCACAGGAAATGAGGATAAAGTAATTTGGGTTTCCTAATAAAATATTACGCGACAAAAATTGTTAACGTTCATAGTAAAACAAAACTTGTGAAAACGTGTGAAAACAACACTTAATCATTTCAACATAAGAAAACATGTGAAAACCACACATCATCATTTCAACATGTGAAAACATGGGAAAACATGTGAAAACAACACATAATCATTTCAACATGTGAAAACATGTGAAAACAACACATCATCATTTCAACATGTGAAAACATGGGAAAACATGTGAAAACAACACATCATCACTTCAACATGTGAAAACATGGGAAAACATGTGAAAACAACACATAATCATTTCAACATGTGAAAACATGGGAAAACATGTGAAAACAACACATAATCATTTCAACATGTGAAAACATGTGAAAACAACACATCATCATTTCAACATGTGAAAACATGGGAAAACATGTGAAAACAACACATCATCACTTCAACATGTGAAAACATGGGAAAACATGTGAAAACAACACATCATCACTTCAACATGTGAAAACATGGGAAAACATGTGAAAACAACACTTAATCATTTCAACATGTGAAAACATGGGAAAATATGTGAAAACAACACTTAATCATTTCAACAAGTTAGAAACCATTTCATTAATAATACAATACCTGAGAGGATTTCATATTTGAATCATTTTCACCATATCCATCAATGAACATATCGTTCAACAACAATCCCTCGTCATTCTTTAAAGTCACAACATGTTGACTGCCAACCACTTTTACAACGGTCATCGTTAAACGTTTGTCAGTAGTTTCACTCACAAATTTTCCCTTCAATTCATCATTCCAAGTCAGAGGGTGTTTCGTCTCCAGACTGCAGCGCAAAGCTAGCGCAGGTAGTTCAAGAAAACTGGGATGTAGTGCCTTGATCCTAAAAAAGCACATTATAATATAAAGTACATAAAACAGATTAAAGTTACGACAAAGAAGTCGAACTCTAAAGTCTACCTTTGTTTGGGTAATGCTTCCTTATTCCCGTAGTCAACATAAACAACTTCAAAGGATTCGGTCCAGACTCCTTTACAACTCTCGCACGATACCATTTATCGTTAACCGTATACTGAGCTGCGCATAAGGTGCCTGGATGGATTTCTTCCAACTCTTTTGGTCGCCATTAGTGCAGGATTTATGAAGGTCATCCACAACTATTTCAATACCGTAATCATGATTAGTTACAAAGATAAACGACAATTATGATGAATTATCTACACTGAAAATTTTCAAAAAACAAACAGCTTTATGACTAGTGATTTTAATCAATCAAAAAATGTTTCATAAATTTGTTTCTCCATAACTCCCATTTAACATAATTCTGTATAAACTGAAAAGTTAATTGACTTTTAACAAATTTGATAAGTCGAGTGTAAGCTGACATCCATCAACATATATTGTTGTGAAGCAGTTTCGACGTTTGTTCAAAGTAAAAAGAGTTCAAATGATGGTATTAAAAGATCAAGATAATATTTTTGCATGCATTCATATACCAATATAAACCAAAATTTGTGTTCAAATTAAACACTAAACAGAAGTGTTAAGAGTTGTAAAAATGATGCGTTAATCTTGTTAATCGAAAATACAACTTCCGCAAACAATATCTCTGTTGTTTTGGATTTCGGTGAGAGGAAGCAAGTCACGTAGCCAGACTGCAAATTTGTTACTGCTATGTAAATTTCAAGTAAATGGTTTGAACCGGGAGTATCGTTGCATGTTTGTAAATGTAGATCGTCTATTTATTTTTTTACCTCTGAAGATGACTACCGCTAAGGTTGTCGAAACGTCAGTCAACAACAACAAAACAACAAAACAGTCCTTCTCAGGACTATACCAACCTGGACGATCTACATTTACAAACATGTAAATTTCAAATCATTATCATTATTCATTTCTTTAGAAATCTATCGTTTTTGCAGTGAGTGAATATAAAAAAATTTACATAACACGAACAAACCTGGGGGCTGACTACGCTACTGGGGACAAGCACAAATTTTCCCTGATCCCTAAAATCTGGTGAAAATTTCATGTCTGACATGAAACATTTTCCAACTAATTGCTCTGCAATTTACAATAGTGCAAACTTGCACTAAAAATTACCAACCTTTATTGATGTCATCTGAACTTGATGATTGCTGAACAAAAAATTATTGTGGTGTTTTAATCCACGTGACATACACGTCACAAAGCGTCCCAGTTTCCAACTCGAGCTCATAAAAATCATCTTGCTCAACATCGACCTCACTTTGTTTTCTCGACATGAGCTTCTTACGTGCAAGCCACGTGTATATATTTTCAGATTTGTCTTCAAGTATTACAGAAAGTGGTTCCTCATCGCCCATCATTATTCTTGCTTTGAACTCCTTCTTCACCACATATCTCACGAAAGAGTAATGCGCGCGTGGAGTCCACGAGTAATGGTGTCCGTTATCATCAATAGAAGCCATACAACATACCAAACCTCTCATTGGTGGAAAACGTGACAATTCGTCATTCAAATAACGAACTCTTTTTCCTATTTCAGATTCGGGGATGATTTCAGAATTACCGTAGTCGATGAACATAACTTCAATATCACCATCGTTTATATGTTTCGAGACAGAAGCTCGGTACCAGGTTTCATCCTCGGAATATAGAGCCGCAATGACATCATCTACTTGCAAAGGAGTGGATACAAAGTCAGGAGCGGTTTCCTGGTGGTATATATCGTACATCATGTCAGCTAATGTTTCTATATTGTTGTTAAACCGTGAGAGCTGACATTATATCGTCAAATTGAGAAGCAGTGTTTGTAAATTGACAGTAGAAATCTCGCGGATCGTTCACGTAAGTGACATACACAGAAACATCGCTGCCAATGAAGGGTTTAGCGGGTGCAATCTTAAGAACTTCCTTCGAAACAATTTCTGCTGGAATTCAAAGACGATTTCAAATATTTCGAAACAACAGCACACAAACTTATTCAAACACATGATGTCAAAACTTCAATCACTCAACTAGAAAAAATTGACTATGCCCAAAACCATGTCAGATAAAATGGCGTTTAAGGTAGTACGCAATTTAAGAAAAATTCCCTTTAGTTGTAGCCTGTGTGTTTAAAAGTTTGTGATATAACTACAAAATGTGACACAACACAAGAAAGGCACTAAATTAATAATTCCAATGAAATACCGAACAATAAAAAAACACCGCACAAAACATATTTACCTTTCCCGGCCGCTTCTTTTCCATCATTTTCAATAAACAAGTTCATTATCTCGTTGATTACAACTGTTTCTCTCTCGGTGTTCAAAATCAAAACCAGATATTTGCCATTATCTGTAAGATTCTCAATACGACAGACGAGTTCTTTACCGTCGACAAGGTCGTGAAACTGCTCGGCATATTTGCTCTTATTCCTCTTCGACGATGAAATATTCACAAGGCCACATTCAATTGCTTGGACAGGTAATTGTAAAAACTCTTGACTCAGCACGGCTATACTGTATAAAACAAGAACATTTAGAAATAAGCAATGAACTTTTACAAATAAATATTGGCATGTGAAATTTGGATACAATGGTTGTAACCTTTTTAAAATCAACACTTCACAGTTCCCATAATCTACGTATTGAACTTTGAAGCGTTTATTGGTTAATCCTCCCACGATACCACATTTGATCTTCACTGAAACGCGCACAACAAGGAGAACCTGAATAAATAATGTCAAACAAACAGTTAAAGAAGAAAGATGTTTTGATAAAACAAGACCAAAATTCATCGCTGCTTGCCTTCTTTCAATAAATCTAAGTCAGTACTTTTAGGTGGATTAACATCGTAATAATCTTGAAGATTAGTCATGAGATTTTCCATTTCCGTAGCAGAATCCGTAAGATGGCACCAAAATGTGTCGAGATTTTCAACATGAGTGACTTCAACATCTTCATAGCCAGGAATTTCAATGGTAGGAAATTGATAACCTGTGATGTTTGTTCCCACAGTAACAACAAATTGTCCAATATTTGAGACAGCATAACCTTAAAGAAAAACCAAAAACAAAGTATTAAAAATTATAGTTTTATAGAAAATAACACCAGATTCACGGTCTGGTATTACAACATGAAATGAGATGGATGAGGGAATGATACTGGACAATAGATGGGAATCGATGGTTACATTTATGAAAGAGAAAGCTTTTGAATACTTGTAGGGTGGTGATATATAGCTACGTAAGTTGGTGAGGTAACAGGGAAACTCTTTACTGGGAAATTGTAGCAATTACTCATGAAAAGTTTGTAAATGAAAGAAAATAGTTTTTGAGTAGGAGATTTTTGAAGGGAGAGTTTGTTGCTTTACCTGGAGTAAATTTTTGTATAATATAGGTGGTGATGTGTGATGGTGTATGGTGGGTAGGTGATGGTGGTGTATAGGGGTAGATGATGGTATATTAGTGTAGATGGTGATTATAGGGGTAGGTGACAGTGTATGGTGGGTAGCTGATGGTATATTGATGGTGGTGAGGGTAGATGCTGGTATGTGGGAGGAGGTGATGGTGGTGTATACCAGTAGATGATGGTATATTAGTGTAGATAGTGGTGATGTATGTGGAAAGGTGCTGGTATATGGAAGTAGATTATGGTAAATTGGTATAGTTGGTAAAGGTATAGAGGGAGGTGCTGGTGTATGGGAGTAGGATGTGGTGGTGTATGTGGGAAGGTGTTGGATATATTGGTGAAAATGGTGGTTGTGTATTGGTGTAGGTAATGGTCTACGGAGATCTGTTTTAAGTAAAATAAAAATAAAAACATTTTCCATTCAATAAAATCACTACCTTTCTGAATAAATTCTTTATTTATGCTATAACACTCTTCACCAATGGTCTGCATCAAAGCTACACCATAATGTTGACTGTCATTGTGAGATATAACTTCAATCATCATCTCTTTATCAACAACCACTTCTTGTAACTTTGTAATTGCCTCATCAGACCATGACACGCCTCTAGGTTTTATACCGTACAATGAACAAGGAATTGCTTGCTGTAGTAAGGTGAGAAACTGAGCTTTTATTTCCTTGATTCTGGATGTAGATAGTCTTTCCATGTTGCCATAATCAAAGTTGTCTTCTAAAATACGATTTAAATTATACAGCTTTGTAATTATACGGCTAATTACAGATCTAAAAGCTGTATAATTAAAGTTGTCTTCTAAAATACGATTTTGTAAAGTTACCAACTCATTTTTGCCAGTTGCAAACACATATATAAATGTAATGACACTTCACCATGCTTCAAACAGTTCTAAGCGATTGCCAGCTGATTATGTCTTGTTTGGTTTATATGATGAAGCTTTTTCATGTGAACATTTTGGAAATATTTAGATTTTCAAAACAAACACTGCATTATAAGTGAAGGAACTGCAAAAGATACCTATCGGTTGTGGGAGGCATTATCAAGTTTTTATATTATAAGTTATAATCATAATTGTTTACATTAGAGAGTGATTTAAGTGTCAAGAAAAATCATTTGCTTAGTTTTCCGAATTTCTTTCGAGAACTTCCAAATTAAGTTTATACTGTTCAATTCCATAGTTATCAGCATTTCATGGGACTTTCTGAAGTTCATCAAGGTCTACAGTAAGGTCTAATGTTGGTGGAGAAAAAATAGGCCTACCCTCTTCATTTTCATCATCATTAGTATTATCAATTTCTCCTTCATTGTTGCACATCATCAACCAGTATATCAAGGCCTGTTGGATTTTGCACTTAACCGGCCATTCATAAGCTTCGTGGACTTGTCTTCGTGGTTCTCATGTGATGGTTAGACCTTTCCCAAATTTTAAGTTTTTTATTTATGTTATTCATGTATGTGTGTTGCAATGCAGCGATGTGTTTCAGTGTTTGCTGTTTACTAGATCAAGGAGACCTTGATCCTCCATAAAATAAAACAAATAGTAGAAAAATCTAAGAACTCCCTGAAACACATCTCTCCAAGGTCACTCAATCCCTTGGTTATGTGTACTTCGACATGTAATTACATTTCCTCTATTGCTTCCTCTTTTCAATCATGTGGTCTGCAATTCTGACATTTTCCAGACCCTACAAAGTTTCATACAATGAAGTTTGCACATAACGAAATTCTATATAATGAAGTTTGGACAGCATATAATGAAGTTTCGACAACATATAATGACGTTTGGACCCCATATAATTTGGTTTCGACCGCATATATTATTCTTTCAAGGGCAAATAATGTCGTTTCGGGCCAAATATAACTAAAAGAATTATAATGTCAAGAAAACTGATCACTTAAGAGAGCTATGGCTATCCATACAACAAAAAGGGATGCTAAGACTGGAGGAAACTGATCCTTGGATACCATTGATAAAAGAGGCAAGAAACAAAGTAATGTCGATTTTGATGAAATGAAAGAAAGCTTTTTGAACAGGGGTCTAGATGAGCAGTCAGCTGAAGATCAAGCATATTCTATCATTCTACTAAAACTTAAAAAAAATGGAAAATGTTTATATTCAACGTCGTATGTGAATAAATTATAACAAGCTCAACGGTTAAAAGAGGAAGACCATGCAAAAGTTAATACTTGAATAAATACTTGGTATTTGGAGTCAGATATTCTTACCTATTGTCGAAGTTGTACGAAGAGTAGTAGAGAAAGATCATCGTGTGATGGAATAATTTATTATATCTAGCACGAATATAATTAAACAATAGGTGCGCGTTGCATTGTGGTTGGCAATGATTCTTTAAGTTCGTAAGAGCACAATAGAGGCTTTGCATGAACACGTGACTTATAACTTGTTGATTAGCAACCGTAACTATGGCGCCATGATAGGGGGCATGCAAAACGCACATGGCGTCAAGTCAATACGAACGAGTGCCATGCCTTCCTAAATATCGTGAAACTTTAAGTGTTGAAGATCGTGTTAAATACGAAGAGAAGTTAAAGTTAATTTGTGGTATCGATCCCTACAATGTTAGTCACAAATTTTTTTCTGACGCGATGGATTTATGGCCCAATGTTGAGTTCCCCGACATTGTGACCTACCTGTTGTTTTCAACAAGTAGGTATACCAAGGAGCAGCTGAAAGCTTACAAAAGCTTAGAATCATACCAGTATTTTGTTGCTGGATGGGTGAGGTGTGTGTATGTCGGTAAAGCAAGTACTAACATCAAGATTTTAATCGCAAAGGTTAGTATAATTATTACTTAAAACGTGTTTTTACAATCATTGTCACAATCAGTATGAAAAAAATTTGGTGTTTAATTCATAGGTAAATCATTCGCAAAGCCTGAATGACACTCCTCTAAAACCATGGGCTGCTGTATATAACAATGGGTCTGTTATAACAGCACATTGCAACTGTAAAGCTGGACTGGGAGAATGTTGTTCACATGCTGGAGCGTTGCTCTTTGCTGTTGAAACTGGTGTACGAATAGTAAAGAACAGGACTTGTACGTCTATTCCCTGTCAGTGGCTAATGCCTAAGACAGTATCAAAGATTACTTATCAAGAACTTTGTGACGTTGATTTTACTTCTTCCAAACGTAAAAAGCAAAAGCTGGATGAACATATCAATGAATTAGCTTCTAGTTCATCATCTACTACCGATCAGACAATGACAACAGACAAGCCTCGTTTGCAAAACAAGTACAAGCCGTCTGAAAATCAAATAAAGAAGTTTTATCAACATCTAAGTGACACTAAAAGTAATCCTGCAATCTTGTCACTGATTTCTCCATTTAACGAAAAATTTGTGCCAAAGAGACCTGCTGTTAACCTTCCAGACCCCTTGAATAAGTTGTACTCCCGCCAATTTGCTTGTCTTGAGTATGAAAAGCTAATTTCGAAATCAAAAGAAGTTATGGAGACAATTACAATCAATCAACAACAAGCTGATATGATAGAAAAAGCTACACGAAATCAAAGCAAGTCTCAGATTTGGCATCAAATGCGAATGGGGAGAATAACTGCCAGCAACTTCCACAGGGCTTGTCGTACAAATCCTGAAACACCATCACTAAGCCTGGTCAAAGATGTTTGTTATGGTTCACAGTTTAAGTCTGATGCAACATCGTGGGGAAAGGCCAATGAGAAGAGAGCCCTAAATCAATATACACAAGTCAGCATTGACATATTGTTATTTCATGAATTGTTCATCCAGTTAATTAAGTGTTTATTGCTGCAAATTGATTGCACATAAAATTTTTTATGCACTCATAAACCTAATAGCAAACATGTACTCATTTGGCACAAAAATTTAATTTTCTTAATTACATGGGCTTTGCTGTGCAATATATCAAAATAAATAATTAGATACATAAATATATATCTTAATTTTATTTAGGTAATGAAAGAAAATCATAGCATCTTCTCAGTTAAAGAATCTGGATTTGTAATTGATCCAAAGTACCCTTTTCTTGGTGCAAGTCCAGATGCAATCAGTTACTGCAACTGCCATGGTGAAGGATGTGTTGAGATTAAGTGCCCATACAGTTTAAGAAACAAGACTATCCAGCATGGCATATGTGGTGGAAAGAATTTTTGTCTCACTAAGACACCAAATGGTACCTTACAGATGGACAGGAAACACCAATATTACTATCAAGTCCAACTGCAATTAGCCTCTATAAAGTTAAAGTTTGTAGATTTTGTTGTCTGGACTCCAAATGACATTTATATTGAACGAATTCAGAGAGATGACAAATTCCTTGCGGTCAATATTGAAAAAGCAAAAGAAATCTACATTTTTGCAATTTTACCAGAGCTTCTTGCAAAGTTTCACACTTCAAAACCACTTCCATCAAATGACACATTATTGTTTTGCTATTGCAGAGTTAAGCTAGATGACACACTTGTTTTAAAATGTAGTAATGATAAATGTTTGTTTAAAATGTTTCACACGAAGTGCTGTGGTTTATCTCGAAAGCCGGCAGCAAACAAACCATGGTTCTGTGTAGACTGTAGAAAACTTTTGTAGAAAGGGAGAAAATGTAAATAGTTCACTAGCAACTATTTCAGAAGCAACTTCTGAGCCAATTATGCTAAGTTATGATGTTTGCAATATTTATTATTTATCTGTTTCAACATATTTTAGAATAAATTGTTCATGTTTAATGTTGTTGCACTACTCGAAAGAAACTACTGATGGACAACAATTAACTAAAGCACAACATACTGTAGCTATCTTGTCAAGTAAGCAATGTTCACCATCATCTGCTCGCAAATAGTCGATTGGAGCTATTCCATGACCAAGAATTGTGTATTTCTGACAAACACTGCCAATAACTCGCTGCACATGTATGCGAACATTAGCTATGGATCTTGTTGTTTCTATCTCTACAGGTGACAGTTGAGCCTTGCCTTTAGTAAAAGCTGGAATCTTAATACTTGCACAGTATAATCCGGCACTGTCTGCAATGTTAAATCCTCTGTCTGCTAGAACTAAGTCACCAGGAACCAGCTTGTTTAATATGCCTGAGTGTTCAGTAATAAATTTGTCTGACGCCCTACCACCCCATGCTTTTGATATAAACGATACTGTACCTTGTGGTGTAATCCATATCAGAAACTTTGCAGTGTTATGATGTTTATAAGACGACCAAGTATGGGCTCTAGCTAAAAAATCGGAAGGGCGGTCGATAAATACTTCGAAGCAATCGATTATGACAGCACAAGAAGAAAACCTTTCTCTAAAACACATTGGAAGTGTCAGTCTTAATTGTTCTCTATCTGGCCAATGAATCAGAAATTTCATTCTTGAAAACATAACATCTATGCAGCTTTGAAACACTCTTGATACAATGGATGCATGAATGCCAAATCTGTAGCCAAGATCTTGAACAGGTAAGTTTAACCGTAATCGCATTAGAGTCAATAACATTTGTTGAAATCTTGTCAAGGAATTTCGCATTACAAGACCTGGACTTATTAGCTCAAGAATTCCCATAAATACAGCCATATTTGGTAGACCAGTGTAGAATCTAAGCTTTTCATCATCAGTTAGATTTTCGGGCGCCAAAGGATCATTAGTAGAGTTTCGTGTGGTTTTTTCTTGAAGCAAATCGATATCGATTGATAGCAAATCGGTTTGCACTTCGATACTTCGTGTGCTCATATACTCGGTCTGTGTTTCTTGTGATTCTGTATCTAGGTTATCAGCTTCTAAACCTTCCCCCATATCATTATTTATGCCAGAATTACATTCTAGATGATATCTTGGATCAGTTAGATGACGAAAGTGAGGACCATTATCCACCATTTCTTCCGAGGTTGCTTCCACTTGTTGAATGCTTATAGCTTGCTTTTCTTTGTTCTCTCCAGTTTGCTCAAATTGAAGACGCCTTTTTAGGGCTCTTTGACTAGTTCGATGGTGTCTTGTAAGCGAGGAGGTTTTTGATGGCTGACTTACTGAACCAGATAAGTGACCCATTGCGATTGTTGGAGCCCAGTCAGGATGAGTCGTCTCATATACTGTAGCTGGTTTCCCTGAATAAAAATAATAAACCTAGAGCAACACCGTACAATCAACGCTGAAGATGCGTATTTGAAATGACTTATTTCACAGATACAGTTTACCTTGATGGAAATGAAGCGAGCAAACAGTTACATTTTTTATTTGGCCATTAAACACAGCGTCCCGCCGAATGTTTGAAAGCCATTTTCCACGACGTTGAAGAGAAATCTGTCTGGTTTTTTCACCCTGATGTGTAATAACCTTTGGTAAATTAAAAAATCTGATATTTTTGTCCCTTTCAGAGCGTTTTCCACAGCCTACAACACAGCAAAACTTTCCCATGGCTCGAACGTATTTTGTTTGTTTTTTACATGCCCCCTATCATGGCGGCATAGTTACGGTTGCTAATCAAATGCAGTAAGTCACGTGTTCATGCAAAGCCTCTATAGTCATTACACATTCAAAATACACGACAAATTTCTTTAGAGAAAACATGTCTTGGCATACTTATGCCATCTTCAGTGCGAAGTGAATCAATATAGGAAGTTAACACGATAATAAGTATATAGTGATAAAGCGGAAGTGTCAAATAGTTATGAATAATTATTTACAGTTGATTAAGATGTTTTATAATGTTCGTGTTAGGTTTTATAAAATAAAAGAAAAAACCTATGTAGAAAATAGACAAAAATGATAAGTCATAATTGCTATTTACAGGTAGCAGATAGTGTTAAGATGTTGTATTTGTTTGTTGAGGTAAAGTTTAAATATCAAAGATCATACAAAGGCAATTATAATGAATAAATCACTTATCGTTGTTCATTTTCTATAAAAAAATAACACAAAAGAATCTTAAGTCTCATTCAAATTTAGTGAACATAAAAAGTTGAGCGCTAGAACTTACTTTGCTTTAAATAACAATAAAAGATGACAGAAAAAATGGTGACAAGAAAAACCACGCCCACAACAGTGCCAGTAATAAAACCGATGCTTGTTGTATAATTATATCTTTTTGAACTATTTGTATTTTTGGAGGCACCTTCAAGAAACAGGTGTCAAAGAACAGTTTTTGGTAGCTCCACTACATTTAAAGAAGAAATAATTCGAATACCAGACCAACAAATAATGTAAAACAATCGAAACTCAAAATAAAACATTTCTAATATGTAAAAAATATACTTTGTTCTGCTCTAGATTAAAGAAGCAACTTTGGAAATTTATTAATGCTTTGTCTGCCATTGTTTTTAACACAAGCAGATATAGCTCATATATTACAAAATTATCAAAGATATCCTACAATCCCAAACACCTTGGAAATTTTCTTACCCCGACAGGCGGCACGAGTTAAACTTTGCAATGGTGACATGATAGGTCTAATGTTCTCTTTACTAATGTTCTAATGTTCTAATGTTCTTTACTAATGTCTAATGTTATCTTTAGTAGAGGAAACGGCTGTTAACATAAGATAACGTTGTTTTTGTTGCTCAAAAATTTTGTAGAATATAATTGTCACATCAATTTAGATGTCAAGACTTTAAACCTCAAGTTATGAAACATTAGAAATAGCTTTGTCGAAAAAAAATTGGCAATACTTCTTCTTAGAAGCGCCCCAATTTCAAACATCTCAACTTTTTTTATCTTAAGTTGTGTATAGGCAAGAATAGTTTTGCCAAATATCAGTTAATTCGAATAGATTCCATCACAAAGAACTTGTAGAGCAATAGCGCTAAAAGGCACGACAAAACTTTGCTAATTAAGCTCAGATATGATATCTATAATGTGGGTAACTAGCGGGCATTAGGCGACCAGCCAAATTTTTATTTTACTTAAAATCCAAAGAATCATGATTTTTCGCGCACGTGAAATACTACAAAGAGTTAAATTTTCACATACACCCACCCAAAATTCAAAATTTTAAAACTTTCCTAGTTTTTTCTAAAAATAATAGAGGTTCTTTATATTTTTTAATGAATTAACAGCTGGGAGGTGAAATTCGAGATATTAGGCTATTATGAACATGAGCTTGTAAAAGTTCATGTGTCGTTTATAGAATATTTTCTTTATAGACACATTACAGTCATCGGATACGAAAATTGTTATTTGACTTTGACGAACAGCTAAATAATTACATATTTTTATTTTAATTGCGTTGATAAGATAGAACTAGGAATTAAGATTTAAGAATATCACCTGTCATAACAAAACAATGTAACACTTGAAAAGTTAAGGCGGTGTTGTGTTTCATTGATTCAATTCTGGGTATTTTTAAAAATGGAGCATAATTGAGCAATCCGAAAGATGAAAATTAGTTGGGAGGGGATCAAAAGTTAAGTAAGATGCAAGGGACATTTTTATAAACATATATTTCAATGTGTTTGGAAGTATTGCATGCAATTTTACATAATAACGAGTCACAATGTTTCTTGCAACGTTTTTTACGAACATGAAATTTAAAATCACATTCATAACATATAACGAAATGACATTTAACAGAAGAACTCGGAACATTGTCTGTAATATAAAGTTTATGCAATAATCAAATGCAATCTTCCGTGTTTGGATTTTCTGACCTCCTATGAATAGCAAGGAAGAGTTCTGTTTTCTTTGACATCTTTGGTAAATTGTATGTGACTGTTCTGTTTGTTAATGTGAGTGTGAAAGTCATCAATCTAGTCTGCATGTTAGGCCGTTGTGGCTAGAAATCAAATTCCGTAGCCCCCATCGCGGTGCTAAAATATGTCATCGGTTATCAGTAGAGTTCAATGCGCTGATTTCAAATATCTTTGTTCCCACACGCCAAGACGCGCTGTTTTTTCATAATGCATGGCCAAAGTTTGTTATTTTCATCGGCATAGCGCCATTTTGAATTCCGCGGTATGTTTGATCTTTTGGCAATCTTACTTGAAGTAAGGGGATGTCCTCGAAAACCGTGGACATATAAACAATTTAAATGTATAAGTGTATGCCACGAACCTATCTAATAACCTCTACCAACGATACGATTTTATTCATTTCAAATGTAAAACTGGTTGATTGTGATCGTGAGCGCTTGAGACAATTGGAAAATATCGCGAAAAGTGAGTAAACTTGACGAGAAACAGAATCAAATTTCAACAGTAGCATAACGTATCAAATGTTGTTTATGTTTTAATGTAATACTATTTGGTATCTAAAGATGATCTAAAGCTCAAGAGCTAGCTAAAATAGGAATTGCACAAAATAAGTATGAGGTTGTTGCGACAATTTCTCTTAAATAAATCAGTTTTTTTACATTACTTAGATTTAGTTTTCCTCCAGATCAGTATCCAGATTATAATCCGAGTCCTCTTCCCTGGATTCGTTTGGACAATTTGTGCAATCAACACATTGGCACATTTCAGAGCACTTGTAGTTAGCTTTCATACAGGAGCACCTTAAGTTTGAACAACCAGTTCTACATTTACAGTTGCAATCTTTAAGAAGTTCATCTGGAGCACATTTGCCCGTCATCCATACCACATCAATATTATCTTCTTCATCAATCTTCCATCCATGGTAAACTGGTGAAGGTGCACCAATCTCTTGGGTTGTTGCCCTTTTCCATATTGCGGTCTGGTAGTTTGCACGCTTAATATGTTGTAAGAGACAATCCTTGTTTGGAGGCAAAGCTGCGTCTGAGAATTTACCCATCCTGAACATGTCATATCTTACCTTGTTGACAGAAGTGGAATCCTTGATCCCATATAACATGCATGTCAGTGACTCCAGGTTTTCTTGAACAGCTTCATCGACTTCAAATTCATTACCAAGTTGCACAAATGTGGTCAGACATCTTTCGTTATTGAAAACCGTTTTAAGGAAGATATCTTACTTCGACCATAAAATGAGCTAGTAGAATCACATCCTTAAAGGCAAAAAGAATAATTGATATTTAAACTTGCAAAAGTTGTTGTGTTTACGAAAACTATGTGCATTTTACTTCATACCCACTTTCGGTGAAACGTTTTAATTAAACTGAATCCCAATTATGTAAAAGATGGTTATCAAGTAAAACTTACCTGTATATGCATGGAATCCAATTAACGCTTTGCTCTTTTCTTCGCCAATCTTTTGCTGCACAAAACCAATATTGATGATACGTGTCTTCTCATTCACGCCAGTTTCTAGAAACAAATCGCATTGGATGATGTGGCAAAAGAATAGCATAAGAACGAAGACATCTGTATCTGGGCTCTTTATTAGGACACTGTCACATGACTGAGACGCGTGATTTGGATGAAGTAGCATTCTGGTGTCAGCCTCTTCATGGTCACAAGATAATGTCGCTATTTCTTGAACGATAATGGGTCCAATATCAATTCCTGGTTTAAGGTGATGGCACTTGTCGTCATGGCAAACGTAAACCACAATACCATTAAACATCGTCGATTTGTATGTACACCACTGCTCAAATAAAAAGCGAATAAGTGCTTCTTTGTTTCCACCATGTTTGAGAAACTTGATCCATTGTGCTGGTAGTCTCTGATCAGCACCATATATATTCATAACCTCTAATCCACCACTTGCCCGTTTGTTGCGTTCTAGATTCTTAATACTCGCATCAGGATATCTGTCTACCACAAAATCGGCACGTGTTGATCTGTGATACGTTGCCAACTTGATGACCCTCAAGAACAATTGCTCTGCAAATTCTCCAAACGACGAAGGCAACTTCTTTGCAGCCTGAATGAGCGCCATTCCATCAAGGACAATTGTATTACCCTCTGGAACCTCTTCAACTGTATGATCTGGAACACTTGACTCGATTGATGCCATTAAATTACTTTTCTGAGTCTTGTGTAAGGTACCCATCTCAGTTGAGAGAGACAAAGGGAATGGACCCAAAGAGTAACAAAGTACTTCCTTCATGTCAATATTTCTACTTTGTGCTAGCAAAGCATTCGAGCGAACAGATTACGATTATTCTTCAAAGTAGTTTCTACACCTTTTGCTGAACTAACTTTTACTTTTTAATCATCGAGGTAAAGTTTTCAGTTTCAACTTTGGAATCGTTGAAAAGATATCAGGCGCATCAACTAGTAACTTATCTTTAATAAAAGTTGTCAAGCATTCTTCTCCTCGTTGTTTTGCACTTAGCAGGTCAGTCTTCACTTCAGGTGTTGCAACTAGTCCACTTGACAAGTGGATCATTTCGGCTGTGTCGCTAATCAAAAGGATTTACCATATTTTGAAGCGTGTTTACTATGTTGGAGATATCTTTCTCATGTCGAGTTTTTTGTGGAGTGTCCAGTTCTTTTCTTTTCCTATAAAATGAATGTAAAAACCAAAATTATATCCTTATGTGTTCATTTATGCAGTTGTTCAAAATCTATTCCTGAAATGTATACCTTTTACTTGGATCGGTGCCGGCCATTTTCATACATTCCCTGTGATTGCAGAACGATCGGATTGAGCTAGAATCCATCGTTGCATAGCACCTCTGTTTAATGTAATTCCGACCATTCCTGCAAAAGAAATAAATATATACTTCTTAGGCTTTCAGTACTGCATAATTTTAAATCACTTGGTCTATACCTCCTGTTGTTTTTGAATCTCTGTTTAAGGTTTGCTCAATAGTCATATCGCATGCGACAGAGGAAAATCCATAGTTCTGCTGGCGTTGCACCGTCCATTGGTGACGCAGATCTTGCAACAACGCTAAATGCATAAAAAGTGATAATAAAAACCCGTGCAGAGGATTGATACATTAGTATGTATTAATTTTATTTGTACACCATTTGATGCAACAATCTACTTCTCAACAAAATACCTACTACTGTTTTGTCTGTAACATTAAAGCACTGCGGTATTATACGTATGTTACCTGGGTGTGTTTCTTGTAGTTTGGTCATTTCAAACCAATACGCTGTTCCGTGACGAGAATAATTCACACGATCGCATGCAAAATACCATGTAAGCATTATGCGCATTGTGGATAGATGCAGTTCCCAATTACCCTCTCGGGTAGCTCTAAAAAAGACAAAGCATTTTTTTCTACTGCAGCTGACGAGGAATTTGCTTGGAGTAAACATTTGTTAGATGTCGACCTTATGGAATAAGTAGAGGTTCTGTTTAATTATGTCAGGAAATGAGCATAGTAGATAAATAGGTTCACCTTATAAACTGAAGAAGAGTTCCGACCATTTCAAGGTAGGTACTCCACAATTAAAACGTTGGGTTGCTTTCACTTTGCCGAACCACGAAGGCATCGTACTGGACAATAATGTCCGTGAATGGTTCCAATGAAAGTTTTTCCTGAAAATTTTCCCCAGGAAAGTTGCTTAAAAGATCGCGTGCGACTGTGTAAACATTAGCGGAATCCTCGTCATCAAGACAACCCAAAAAAGCTTGCAATCGCAGTCGATGCAGAGCTTCGCTCATAACTTTATGGCAATAAATGCTTCTGTTATAATGCTTTCCATTCATAACACCTTTAACCTGCCCTGGCCCAACAATTTCAGCTTCAATAAGTACATCCTAAACATAAAGCAATATCGTCATTAAAAAAATGTTTATCTAAGTTTTAATTATTAATCGCATTAGTAAGAGTACACACCTGTAACCCAGCATCTCTGAACATGTTTCCTATTGCGCTCAGGAATGACATGGTGGCATGAAACTCCCCAAGTCTAACAACCAATCTCTCCATAAAAATCTCGTTTTTCCATCTACAACAAAAAAGGCAAACGTCAACCTTGACATTAACTACCATTTGCCATACAGTTCAATCTTAACCTGATTTGTTGAATCTTTGCATAAATTGCTTCGTCAAAAACAAGAACGATGTGTTCTTGTGACAACATGTCTGCAATGTTGATGCTCTTTAAAAGCGCTGTGTACAGTGTTGGGTACTCACTTGGGGATCCATCTATTATTGGCAAGTAAGTGATTCGAGACATTGTTGGTATTGCACGTTGCCTCAGAAGAATGTTAAAACCTGTCCAACCAGGAAGTAGAGTCCCAAAGTGGTTTTGGCATAGCTTCATTAGAAGATATGCAAAATCCAGTCTCTTGGCAAGTTCTTCATGAGACGAGAAACTTTTTTCGTAATAATTATTTAACATTGATGTATTAATGTCAACAAAGTGTGGTGTCTGCTTTTTGCCAAGATTGTACGGGACAATATCTTCTCTTAGAGCTGTAAATGTTCTCCCACCTTTCTTTTGCTGTTTTGAAACAACAAAAGGTTCATTGCCAGACGAATCCTCTCGTTGAATTAATATGCCTCCTAGTATATGAGTTTGGTTCCTAGAATCTTCAGTGAAATCATCATTATCGTACACGAGGCAAGTAAATTTATTTTTTTCTACGCCTTTTGGAAGGAAGGAATCTGATTTCACTGATAGCTTAGCTAGGTCTGTTTCATAAGTTAAAATGGCAGAATGACTTGCACAATGGCCAAATCCATTTAAAATTTGCGTAAGTTGTGATGACCGTGTTAGTTGTCTGACTGCCATACCCAGTGCTAAGGACTTTGGTGTTTGTTTTTTCCCATTTGACGCTATGTACAATATGTCTTGGCAGATTGATAGGACTTTTGTCTTATGCGAATCCTCTAACTCAAGGCGAGATGAGATTTCTGGATAATCTGAGAAATCCAACATCCAAGCTATAAAATTAAACAGTAAAACTGGGACCATCTTTAGAACTTGGTCTGTTAAAAGATCCACAGCCGATGGTGGCCAACATGAATCCATTCCCGGTGCTCCTTTTATAGCATTTTTTAAACTCATCGCAACATCATAAAATTCTTTTAAAGTGACTTCCTTTTGATGAAATATAGGCTGAATATTTGCTTCTTGGTCACCATCGCTTTCTTCCTCTTCATTATCTGCTGTTGTACAGGTCTCGGCTACTTCACCTACTGATAGCTCTTCTACAAATACAAGCTCGCTTTGATTTCTGGTTGCAGGGCGGTGAAATACAAGTTGCGGATAGTCTCTTTGCAATCTTGTTTTAAGTCGGGAGGGACGGTAATTGGATGCATCAAGCTCTTCAATCTTCATTACTTGCTGCACAAAAAAACCTCATGCAATAGCCTCATTCTCATTATTTGCTTTTCCTTGATCAGCTTTTCCTCTATTGTTTTGGAACAGAATGTGTTGTAGCTTAACTGATATAGCTCGTTGTTTTGTTTACCTGTCACATTTCTTGACAAAAATCTGCAGTAATCCAAATGACAATGCTTGTGGTAGCGTACTTCTATGGATACGCAATCTTTACCCCTAATGTGAGCTAAAATTGATTCGTCTTTTTTCTTTTCGGCAGCCTCTCTTAATTTACCCCCCATCAAACGTTTGTGCTAGAACTAACTTATGCAGTTTTCGTTTTCTAGTGGCCTGCAAAACATGCAACGTTATTGTTACCAAAATGTCAAGAAATAATGCAAGGATTATGTTAAACTGTACCTTGTCCACCTTGTATGACTCTTGTCTTTTGCAAATTATGCATTGCTCTGGAAGAACATGTTTATTTCGCCTGACTATGTTTTCATCACCACTAAGCAATGTTCGTGGTGATATCCGTACAGGTGCACACAAGGTCCGGTGGGTGACAGGAGTGCTCGTTTCACCTTGTGTGAATGCATCAATAGTATTTGTTTTTTTCTTTATTCTTCTTTCGGCTCTTGCGACTTTTGTTTTATCACAGAAACGAATATAGCATTCCTTATGAAAACGCACATTTGCAATTTCTTCTCGCACTGTCTCTCTGTCTGGACCGAGCGACCAACGTTTGACTCGTTTGGAAACGTTTGACGCAATTTTATTAGGTTCCCCATCCAAATGAATCCACTTTTCAGAATATTCACTTATTTTATCGATTGTATGTGCCGTTAATTGACACAATTCGCCTGACTTACCATTAAAATGAATGAAACATTCATCCATTCTCTTGATTTGCTCTTTGGGACTTGCAGAATTGTTCTCAGAAAACAGTCAGAGTTAATAACGATTTAATTTAATAATTATCCTTATAAATACTTCAGCATTGCGCGTACTTCAAGTAATAATGTCAAAAGATCAAACACACCGCGGAATTTAAGATGGCGCTTAGCGGAATTTAAGATGGCGGAATTTAGTCGATCAAAATATCCAAGTTTGGTTATACATTGTGAAAAAACAGCGCGTTTTGGCGTGTGGGAACAAAGATATTTGAAATCAGCGCATTCGACTCTACTACTTTCCGTTGAAATATTTTAGCACCGCGATGGGGGCGACGAAACGAAACATTTTCGTGCCAGAGCCAACGGCCTAAAACAGGAACTAACGATTACAAAGTTCTACGACTCCAAAGTCTTTCTACAACGAGATGGACAACAAGAGTAAAAGCTGCTGACGTCATCTTCGAGAAATCGGCTGAACTGCATGCAACCCTTGAAAAATTGCAGGAAGATCCTAGCATTTCGGCAGACACAAAAGCAAAGATTAGAGGAATATTAAGGCGACAACTGTCTTCCTTAATCGTCATCTTTAATTTAGACGCGACAAGAAAGCTATTGACTTTACTCGAGAAGCTTTCTAAAGAGCTCCAAGCGGTTGATATTTCAGCTGTGTACGCTCTATTTTCAATAAGACATGTCCTGCAACGTCTTCATGAGATGTCAAGCGAAGAAGAGTTTGAGCGTACACTTGATGACGCTAAGAAAGTTTTTCGTGTTATGATGTCGTTTCCACTGGAATTTAGTAAAAATTTTGGCACTGGCACTAGACTAAGAAAAGTTCCAAGATGGATGAATAATGAAGAAATGTTAATAACAGAAAGCCTTCACGTCACAGATGCCTCAGTTTACATCAGTGCGAATATAACACCAATGCAAAGCTCGTACTACCAAGCCATTGATGCAATCATCTCAGGTCTAGGATCGCGATTTGAACAAGACGATCTTTTCCAAATCAAATGTATCGAGGAACTGTTACTTAACTCTATGAAAGAAAGAGGAGTATCTTTAGATGGATTAAGCAATTTTGATTGATAAAGATGTTCTAAGAATGCAGCTTGATGATCTTCCTACCATTCTTGGGCTTTACAACACGGATCAGAAGATAAAAATAACAGAAGTCACGCATATTTCAACAATAGCAGAGATATTCAATGCCATGCCGTCAGCAAAGCAACGTGCTCAGAGATCCACAAACTAATTATACTATACTACATAGTGCCACTCTCATCTGCCTCGTGCGAACGCACATTCAGCGTAATGCGTCGTCTCAAAACATGGCTGCGGTCAAACACTGAAGGAAATCATCTGAATGATATTATGTTCTCTAACATTCAGAAGCAACACATGGATATGGTTGAAATAGACGTAATTGCCAAAGAGTTTTCACAGAGAAATGAAAGAAGAAATAAATATTTTGGAAAATACAATACATGACAAATTGTAAATTAGTGACGTTACATCGTTTGATAGTTATATTATCGTTAATATTTATCGACCAACACTGCGGACATGTGCTTCTGTACAGTGTATTGCATGTAGCACATCTCTTTGCTATTTATCACTATTAGATTATTTTTAGTATATTTCACTAATGTGCCCTTCCACAAAGGCTTGCCCCTCCTGCCCTTTTGCCGTTCCGGCGTCCCTGGTCGAAACATGTCTATTTTCAAAAAGTTGTCGTTTATATTAAATGTGTGTTGGCAATAGTGCTTTTACGAAATTATAGAAATACTAAAATACATATGATAACAAGATTGGAGCATATTGATTGAGCATTGGATAAATTGAATTAAACATCTCCATTAACTCTAAGGCGAAGGTCGAGATGTTTATTGCATTGTGTGGTTAGAGCTAAAGTTTGCTATAAAAGAGCCATTTGCTTAAATTTTCTTTTAAAGAAGTATTAGAGATAATGAACGTTATTATGTTACACCTGTGTTACACCTATACACAAAATTTAAATTCAGTCCTTAACAAAAATCTTTTGTGGTCTTATGATTTATCTGTTGCCACAGTCAACAAAGACATTATCCACACACCACGAGATCCGGAAACATTTGCTCAATCTGCCCAGTCACGTTGTGTAACTAAACAGTTCCTTATCAGGTTTGTCCCACCTTCCTCAGTTCCACTAACTACTGTGTCCTGTCTGGATAATGGTATTGTTACCATTATACAAGTCATAGCTCTTCTCATCTTGTTTTTCTTAAATATATAAAATATATGTTTGCACAGGATGGTCAAAGAAATAGACCTTTCATCTTTTGAACATTTCAATACACAACATTTTAATTTTAGGATTAATTTTTTGGAGACCTTGACTTGACCTCAGTCTGCCTGTCTCTACATAGTGTTCTGACTTATTTATGTTTTTATTTAAAGGCTTATACAAACTGAGAAGACTTAGGGAACTTGAGAGAAAATCAGTGAAAGCTTGAGACCGAAGGTCGAGTTGTCGATGGTTGCACCTTTTACACGCTTGATACTTCTCATAAACGTCTCCTCGATTTACCTAAGCCAGTGCAAACACAATCATCTTTTATTTCTTTAGAAAATAGCAATAATGCAAGCAGACAAATGTAAAACAAACATTTTAAAATGTATTCATGTGATTTGCAATTAATTTTCCTTCAAGTACTTATTTCCATATGAACTTTATGGTATTCAATTAAGAATTAGATTACGCCCCGCCCACTTTGGGAGGAGCCTTTTATGCATATTTACCTATGAATATCAGAATTTGTTTTTGAATTTGATACTGTCACATGACCTTAAAATAAACTCCATAGTGCAAACTGCTTAGCAACAGCAATCGAACATTCGAAAGTGAACATGTTTCTTACTTAGTTGAGCTGTTGAATGTTCAGTTTGTTGGTTTAGTTGCTAAAAGACCGATCAAGCACTTCAGAAGATCACACTTTAGCTGTCGTCTCAATATCTAGAAAATTAAATATTAAATACAAGAGACAAGAAACAAGCCAAAGAAACAAGCCAAAATATCTGGGTGAGTTACATTTCGTATTTCGTTTTATTGTTAATGCACATGTGTACTTGCTGTTGTAAGTCGTAAGAAAAAAGATTGTTTTGCTGTAAGGTGCTGGCGTAAATATTCATTCCACTTGCAAGACGCCATCACGCCGTGCATTGAATTCGCATTACGAAAATTATGGCGATTTTGAATTTCAAATTGTGAGAAAAATCATTGAGCATTTCTTCAGTTAAAATGCTTTTGTTTGTGCTTTTGAAAATAAAATACCTAAGAAGAAAGGTAGTACATTGAGCGAAAATCGATGATAATTTTTTACGATATTAAAGTGAATCTTTATATATATTAAAATTCTGCGTAAAAGGATGTCCCAAGAATAGTATTTCCATAAAGGCAAATTTTGTTTGTACAAGTCATATTTTTTCATCAAAAGTAAGAAACGATGCTGAAACATAAGACAACTGACACTCCGTATAAAGTAAACATTTTTAGTTTAAACGCTTCGACAAAGACAAAGCGTTAAATAAGCCGTTCGGTTTTATTCACTATGATGATATGATGTATGAATTTCGAGTTCAACGTAATATGACTTCCATGTACCCATATTGGTTTTCCGTCGGATGAAGTTAATTGTGATAACTCTTTGAATATACACCATGCACAAGACAAACTTCCGGCCAATTTGAAGTTTGGATAGAATACTTGCGAAGTACGTACGTTTTAATTGTATGTCATACGAAGTATACAAGTGCAGATTCATAAGAAAAGGAATAAGAGTAAAAAGACGAAACGGTGAAATAGGTCGTTTTTACAATATTTGGATGACAAATATACTCACAACTAAAGAAAAAGGACAAAAATACTACAAACAACACCAAAACTATTCTATAGGATAACTGCAATAGGAGAATATTCGGGACTACTACGCACGCAACCAAGATGGTCTTGACCATCATAATATATTATTTTTCAACTTTCTTACCAACACTCCTCCTTACCCAAAATATGCAGGGTTTTCCTTACCTAGGCAATGTCATTTCTCTGCCACCTCTCCCAACTCTCTTTCACGCTCTTAGGGAACACATCATCCCAATCTGTAAAACAGGGACTTTGTCGTGGTGACAAATTTGAATATCGCCTTAAAGAGAGCAATTGCCATGGCGAATGGACTGAGACCAAATAAAAAACCACGAAACCCTAGATAAAACCGAGAGAAAAAACTAAACAGAGAAAACGAAGAAAACATCTAGAGTTCGGAAAAGAACTATTTTAGAAACTTTGCATTTAGGCAAACAACTCGTCAGTTGTGAACATTTGTTATCTGTTTGGGTGAATCAACTTGTATATATATGATTGGTTTTGTTGATGACTCATCCAGCATGGGAGATGGGTCATTATCAAAATAAAGCCAATTTGAAAATGAACTACTTCTTAGTTTCCCTCAGTGAGAAACTAATTTTGTTTAGTTACTTTAAACAGGGTCGACTAAACCGGACTGTTTCTGCTTATTGCATGCCTAGGTCATATGGTCTAAGTATTACCATGGAAATTTATGCAATAAAGGTCACCGAACATACGATGGGCCCCAGGCTTCCTGAGAGGTTAATCCGGCCCTGGTTATATACGTATCATAATGCTATGTCTTTTATTTTCGTTGATCTATGCTCCTGCCTCCAGTAATACTTTGCTTTTCTACTCAAATCAATTTATTTCTTTCAACTTGTGAGTTTCTTTTTATCCGAATTGATGACCTTCCAAGTTTGTTTAATGTAGTAAAGTGTTGCAATTCGCTGTGAAATGCAAGTCTATCAACAATCGTAATTTTAGAAAATACACTCAAACTGAAACTGTGAACTTATTACTTGATAATGATAGAGTTAGAATCGAAAGTTTTGAAAGAAAAATCATATTCGTTATATTTGTGTCCAAATTAATTAAGAAGAAAAAGAAACATCATCAATTTTATTAAAGAATGCATTTGAAATACCGCATTTACTGTATTGAGCATCAAAGTATTCTGTAGATGCGGGTGCAGTTCGCAATATGGTGTGGTTGAAATTGAAAATGGTGCTCTTAACTCTAATGAATTCTAAAGCCGTACATAATATTTGTATTTTTTAGGAAAAATAATGAAGGCGAGTTTAAGAATTTTAATAGTGGCATTTCCAATATTTATTTCATTTTGCAGAGGTACATAACTTTTTACAACCATATATCCATAGTTTTTTCATAAATGGTTTTTGACGTATTAATATCCAATTTCAATTTCAGGAACAATAACATCTCCACCTTATGGTCAAAAATTTGTATTTTTACCTGAATCTTCTCACAATATAACTTGGACATTAAATGTTACTGGAAGGATTAATACATGGGTTTGGAGTTTTACACCTTGTGGTTCATCTTCCTCTCAACAACTTGCAAGATTATTTCCTATTAGTGACACACCCGATTATTCGCCATCACCTTTAACATTTGAAGTTTTTAAACCTGGAATTTTGTGGCTAAAGAATACAAATCAAAGTTACAATGGTGAATTTACATTTACTGTTTTAACTTCTACTGGTACTACATCAAGAATAAATGTTTATATTGCTGGTAAGTTTTAATTATGTCAATCTTTCTTGTGATGTATGCATTGTTCTGAGTATTTAATGGGGGAAACTTGGCCTGAATATTTTCCAAAAAAACGTATATTACAGTTACTTGCTGTATTTAGAAATTAAACTGGTGCAGCTCACTAAGTTAGAATAATATTGCCAACTTGGGAATCTTATTCATATAGCTACATTTAAAAACAATCCGAATGGTAAAAATACAACCACAACACTTTAAAGAAGATGATGGCTGTTTGTGGTGTTATTGATACTATTGCATGTCTATAAATTGTAAAATCAACAAATATATAGCATTTAATTTGCACGAAAAATGTATACATTTAGGTAGTTGGTAATTAGGCCCTCTTTTAGTTTGAATAATTGGATTAATGCGCTTTGGCATAGATGCAGTTAGTCTATGGCACAGTTGTAAAGCTGATTTCAACTCATCAATATTTTTGAAAAGTAAGAACTGTACCGATTTCTTCACAACTGCCCAAAGTTGTGAATGGTGTTGAGATACGGTGAATTGATTGGCTAACAATTAGGGCCAAACCTTGTACGCTAATTAAGTGGTATGAATATTTTACATTTAGCTCTGCCTGACTGAATTCGTTTGAAAATGCAATATTTAGCAATTATTGAAAGGGGTTGTGTGTAACATGGAGAATTATAAAGGCCTTGGTATAATTTATCTGCTGGCAGATAAGATCTACCAACTCACAAAATTAAGTTCTCTTGTGACAGAAAATTAGATTAATTGTAATGAAATGTTCTTCTGATTCATGCAGGTTTTTTACTTCGCGACTTGTTGAGTGATCTATGTTTTGTATATGAGAAAAGAAAGATTTAAACTGACTCGTTTTAAAACACACGTAGGCTCAAATTGATAACTTTATCCAACTCTTTTTCTGTCTTCCAGACCTAACGTGTGGCTCCTAAATAAATATGGCAACGAAGTAAATGAATTTTGAGTCTAAGCCCAAATTAACACCAAGATGTTATTTATAGTCACAGCATATTTTCCCATATTTTAAAATGTTGCTCTCCTTATGTGTTACCAGATAAATTTGACTGTGTTTATCAAAACGGACTAATGACTACATAATTTAAGTGATGAAAATTTTATGCTTTTAATTTCAGTGAAACCAAATGTTGTACACAATTGTTCAAATCTTCTGGTTGTGAATGAAGGTGATAATGTGTCATGTGTATGTAGAGGTGAAGGAGGTAACCCTCCTGCTAATGTCACATGGTTTGATAAAAATAACAACATACTTGGTGATGATGTTGGAGTTGTCAGTAAGACATCAGTAATCACTAATGTTACAATGAATGATGGTGGAAATTACAGATGTAAAGCACAAAGTTATAATGATCCACGTTTTAGAGATGAAAAATCCATTGAAATACTAGTGAAAGCTGCTTGTAAGTTTCATAATTTTGTTTCAAATTTCATTTTCGACGTTTGCAATTATAAAAACATATAAAGACAGTAGAATATGAATTTTATTCTTTACAGATCCACCACAACAAACCAATATTACCATCAGTCCAATGTCAGTAAAAAAAGATCATAAAGTGACAATATTTTGTCTATCAGATGGTTATCCTGAACCAACCTACCAAATATATCATAATGGTACTGGTAATATGCGTGTTGTCAGTAATGACAGGACATACATCATTCAATCTGTCAACTTCAATAACGCTGGTTCATATCGTTGTGAAGCAAAGAATAAACATGGAAGTGATTTATCTGATGTTAAATATCTTACTGTCAGCCGAGGTAACTTTAAGAATCTCAGTTTATCTCTTGTTGGACTTTTATTTTGCATTATGTACGAGCTATTTTGGTGGCAAAAATTGACGGGCTATGGTCATCTTAAAATATTAATGAAGTTCTTTTACTTCGCTGCACTTAAGACAGTCGTATGAAATTATATTAAACACTAGAAGATTGCTACGAATGCAACAGCTTTTCATTTTATTGCCGCACCAACTCAAGACTTTAGTTTCCCGTCCGTTTCTTTATGAGATTGAACTATAGGTAGGCAGAAACATAACTTGTAGCGTACACTAAGTTGAGTGAGTACGCACATAACAAGAGAATCACAGCGTTATATCAATATCGCCAAAAAATACAGAAGTTTTCGTCGTTCAGTCGTCGATACAAACTAAAGTTTAAGTTAGGGGAGCTTAAAGAAAAATCTACTGTTGTTTCTAGTGTGGTGAAGTAAATGTAGGGGAGTTCAGTAACATTAACCATATTATTTCTTGCTATATGTATACATTCTTCAGTAAGCATAAGTAAAAAAAATTTTCAGCATATCCGTATTTCATTTCAACGGTATTAAAGTTGCCTTAAACGTTAATTGCCTTGAGTTTATTAATTTAAATAGATTACTTGGCGCTTAAACTATTTTCATGTATTTCATGGCACTCTAAATGTGTTTTAACATACTATAAAAAACAGAAATAAAAGAATTTCATTAATGATGTAATTCTAATACGAACCATTTCTGTCAATGTGCTAGACCAACAAAGTTCTTCCAGTTCATTGCCGACAATGTCTTCGTCGATGACCATTTTGCCATCAACTAGTTCCGCTCCAACTAATAACGGTAATTTTAACGTTTTCTGTTGTTAATTTCAAGTGGAAATATCATTTTTGGAAAGCATGTATTAACTTTAATGTTTTTAAAGCTCTCTTTAAAATTCAGCAATTTTGTTCCCATTTAGGACGCTAACATACTTTAGTGTTCCTTTTTTGCTTATGACAATTGTTTTAGTCTGGCTTTTGGCTATTTTAAATATTTGTTTGACCTAGTAGTTATTAATAACACTGTTTGATAGAATTTATCAAAGTTCGCAAAGATGGCGATGGTGTATCAAACATCGGTCTTATCATTGGTATTGTCGTTGGAATGTTGTTCCTTCTCGCCATTCTAGTTGTCATTTTCTGCTGTTATAAATCAAAGCAAAGTAAGTTCAACATAAGAATTTTTAATTAATTTTTAATTTCAAACACCGCACTGCATAAAACATTCGTAAAACATTCATATAAGAATTTTTCATGGTTGGAAACGTTGAGTAGAATTCCTTTTATATTTAAAAGCTGTCGTTTATGTCAAATTATTAACCATCTACTTTTGTCTTTTTTTATTTGTAGAAAATGGATACCAGTAAGTGAATTGTTTGTTTTAATTGTGTTTGTATAATTTGTAATGGTGATAGTGTTTTTGTCACATGTATCAGTTATAAGGGGAAATATCGAACACGACGGGCCATTTGGCGCCGTGGTGAAAATTGCCAAATGTCCTTGTTATGTATACGCTATGTAAGTGCAAATACGAAATTTAGGTTTATTTACGTCTAAGGCTATTCGTCAAGAAACAAACGGCGAAGCGGCAGCGCCCCCCCCCCCTTTTGCTAGAAAAAACCCCCAAAAAAGTTAAATGATAATAAAAAATGACAGGATAGTTTCCGTTTCCAATTAAATTCAAAGAGTTCGGCCCTCTTTTCATAATCTCCTGGACCGCCCTGTCCAAGGTTCGATACTAAGCATTCTTGAAACTAATTTAATTGCCATACTTAGAAACATTTTTCTGAGAAACTTTGCACTATCCATTAATCTCTACTTCATTTAGTTACAACAAAATTTGCGGACTTTTCAATATTGCGTTCAAAAGCTTCCAAATGCAAAAACAGAGAAATTTGCTTTCTTGTTCAATTGAAAAATTACAAACTTAAAGGTTCTTTATTAGAAAATTTTATTCATTAGAGTTTTTCTATCAAAGCAGCATTAGCTTGCTCATTCTGTTAATGTGCGGTAGGTGAGAGCACGGAAAATAGCAATTTGAACTATCCCCCCATATCAACTACCTAGGTAACTATGCTGGCATAAATATTTGCCACGGTAGAATGTGAGGTGTGGGTTGCAATTAATCAGTTTTATAACATTCATTGCAAGGCTCCAAATATGATGGAAGTTAGTCATTTGTAAAAAACCTATTTTTGTATGTACCACACACATTGATTCAAGTTGAATTTGAATTTTTTTAGATTCAAAGATGATTTTAAAATCACAACCGAAAAAAGAATCAAAAAGTCCCTCTATCTTGACATGGATTGTTTCATACACAGGTCATCAAAGACCTGTGGTACCTATCAAAACAGTCCCAGATACAAAATTAGAAACGACAAAAATTTACAACAAAAACAAAACGCTTGTATTTCTACAAGTGTTTTTGGCTCCACATGAAACACTTTTGAATCATGTGACGATACTTCCTTCAGGTAAGTTAGCCTTATCAGGAATGATTTTGCTGCGAAAATTATGATCTAAAATTATGATCTTTCCTTATCTTTGATAAGTGCTTTAGGCAATTTACTAAACAGTATAGTTGTTACAATCTATTGATAAAACTTAGAGACGCATTTTGATGCAAATAGTATTAGTAATATTTTTAAAATGCAGGAATTCTTACCTGAATAATTAGAACTTGAGGATACTTTTATATTAGTATTACTTTATTATCTAAATATCTGCACAAATGCAAAATAAACTTACACGTAAACATAGGCCTATAGGAACAGATTTAAATTTTGGAGGGGTGAAAATGAATTAAGTGGCTGACTTGATAAGATTGTCTCTTTCGTCTTCAAGTATAACTCTGTACAAGCGCAGCACTTGTAGAAAGTTAAGAAGTGATCTTTATTGTTTAGTTGTATTTCATTACAACTCATTCTATAATTAATGCAACAAGCAAGTGTCACAGAATAGATATATACAGAAGCGCCACTCGATGTCGGAACCTTTGATGTTCGTGTCCGCAGCATCCGGGCAACTTTACACGGCGGCCATGTTTCCAGCCAGATAAATGCAGCCAGATCGCAATATAATATATAGTTCTACGGATGGGTTTTGGCAAATAAACCCAAATATTTCTATAGATTGGCCATTTTTTTAATATTTTTTGTGTGGATACAGTTAACACATCAAGCTCTCAACAATTTATCATTAATTCGACGTCCGTTTTGATAAATGAGGGTTTATTCGGAATATTTACAAAGTAGATATGTATCTGACGAGATGCGTACTCGGTATATGGTTTGTCGTCAGTTTTAATTTTATCATATAAGAATTCTGCAGAGAATCTTGAAGACATTTGTTCTAACATTTGAAATCTCGGTCGTGGCTGAAACAAGTGACAAATCAAATTATCCTCCAGTTAAGTTTATATATTGCAAACAACGTTTGGCAGGACATTCGAATCACCAAAATTGTCTACCCAGGTGTTTTAAACTATCAGAAGCGATGCTGCATGGCCACTATGAAAGTCATCTGATGCCAAAATATTTTGTATTCATCACAGTTGTGACTTGTGAAGCTTGAATGACTTTTTGAGCAAGTTGGAACATAAGCAGCAGCATGTTGGCCTCCACCAATAAAGTGCTTGAATAGCAATTTGTAAAACATATACTGCCATATAGTCCACATGACTTAACTTTGTTATTTCTGCCTTTTTAAATTCAATCAGGAGATTATTTATATATTTGACATGGATGCTTATTGATGATGTGAGAAGTGAACATAAAAAAGCTTCCTGAATGCTTTTGTGAATTGGATTGGTGTTGGCTTGGCAGTTTCCCCCAGTCAAATGTTTTAAAAAAGTTTTCTGGTGTATCTGTGTTTCACCTTTTGGTAAACATTTTACTGTGTAAAGTATTACGATTTAAATAATGGCATTAAGAGTAACTATAACTGGTTTTTGTCAGAATAAGTTCTGTTTGTGACATGATTACTTACAATAAAAATTTTAATTTACTGAATGAAGTTTATGACCCTTTGTTGCAATAATTTCTCTCTGCTGGTTGATCAATGCGGTGAATCAAACATAATTCTAATCATTTTTCACATACAATTGTTTGTCACAACTCACAAGTGAAGTTTAACCAAAGAGGTAAAGCTGTAGGAGCTTGACAATATGTTTGACATAATGGTAAAGTTGTTAATTTAATTGTAACAAATTATCAATAACTTCATTCTTTAAAAAATTGTAATTTCATATATTGTTTATTAAAAATAAGACAACAAAAAACATCTTTATTTGTAAGTTAATACAAATTTGACAGATATGGCGCGCCAAGATGGACAATATTACCAAAATCGAAAATATTTACAACGAAACACATTATCGTATGTCGAAAATAATATACTGGCAACTTTTTCAATATTTGTAAAACGAAACGCAAAAATATAAAACAAAACAAAAATTCGTTTACCATAATTTATATATATACAACGAAATTTATTTTTCAAGTTATGAAAATTATTTTTATAAAACGAAACTCATTTATATAAAACGAAATTGACATTCATAAAACGACATTTTCTTCGAACAAACGACATTTTTTACCTCTTTTTTGCGGCATTATTTTGTAGCCTGCAAAGAGCCATCCACTACAAAATTTTGAGGATGTCTTCGCGAAGGAACTTACATAACTTGACAAACCTTGTTGCAGCAATCACTCAGCTCTCTGAAAGTGATTGCTCCAACAATTGTGAAAGAACTTTTGAAGGAGATAACGATGCTAACGCTAGCAATATTGAAAGTACGATACGCACTCTGTTCCCTTCTGCAAATGGCCGTTCATCCACAACCACAACAGTCGGAGGAGCAGCGACTACAGCAGCTAATACTTCACTGTTCAACCCAAGTGTAAATTATGGAGGAGGAAAAAAGTCAAAAAGGTCCAAGACTAGTAAAAATAACAACGGCAAGAAGCTGAAATTGAACGAAGCTCGGACAACTCTAAAAGATGTTGTCTTGATACCATATTCAAGGCAAACTAAAGTACCACGTGGACGGGAAAGAGAAGCAATTTTTTCCGCAGGATTTTTGTCTACGTTTGAGTTAGACCCTTCCATGGATGAGGAAGGAATAAGAACAGCATTAGAAAGCAAGTTTGCAGTGAAGTTTTCGAATACAAGAAAGTCTCCCAAATTCGAATTTATGAGAGCTGTACACAGCAAGCTGATTTCCCTTGAAACTGACGGCTGTCCAAAATGTGACGGTAGGCTTTTAAAGCATGTGTCTGGTCAAGGACCAATATATATTCGGGCCAAGGAAGACATTAGTGTGTCAGTGCATAGTTTAGTCAAAATAGAGGACAACAGCAGTGATGACATTAGCTCTGAAGATGATGACATTATTTTGAAAACAACAATGTTCGAGGACCAATTCACAAGTTCATTTTCATCACAAAATTTGGGAGACAATCTAAAATCAACATTGCCTCCCTTGTTGCACTCTTCTTCTTTGCATGATATCTCTCATGAAAGGTCAAGTGTGGCTACCACATCTACAACCTCATCAATTTTGTGTCCAACTTGTAATATGAAATTCAAAATTGATGAAATTGAAGAGCATGCTGATTTGTGCTGTGAAAGTGCTTGGAAAGGCACTGAACAGCACTATGTCAGTATAATGTCTCAATTTAAACGTAAAGATGACCAGAATCAACCTAAAGATGACCAGGATCACCATTTGTCGTCTGATGCAGCAGCTGAGAATACTGAACTTTTACAAGTTTCATTGCTGGATGAGTTGAAAAGACTAGAAAAAAATTTGGATCAAACCACAAATCGTGTAAATGTGCAAAGGATCAGTATTTTGAACGACTATTTGGATAGGAGGATAAAATGTTCTTGGTTTTCTCCAAAAAACAAAATTAAGGTCGTCTTCATAGGTGAACCTGCCGTTGACGATGGAGGTCCAAGGCGTGAATTTTTTTCTGGTAATGTGACAGAAAAAATAAATTTAGTGCATAATGTTTTACCCTTTAATGTCCTGTAACATGATGATGTTTTTTAGAAATACTACTTTTGTTGAGAATGCGGCTGTTTGATGAAAGAGGAATGCCTTTGGAAAGCACCATGGCATTGACACAGAACTTGTACAAATATGCAGGGGAAATTATGGTCATGTCAATTCTACAAGGTGGACCAGCTCCAAACTTCTTGTCACCTGTTATTTATGATCTAATTGCAAAAGGACTCTCAGCTGCTAATTTTTCTCTTGATATGATAGAAAATGAGCACTTCAAAAAAATTGGCATGAAGGTATGCTACTTATGAGAGAAATCTATTTTTCTTCTGTTCTTCATCAGTGGTGATTGCTCTTTAGATTGACGATGCAAACACAGACAGTCAACTACAATCATTATTGACAACAGATGATGCTCTTGATGTTCTTGAAAAAGTTGGGTACAGAGGAGTTCCCACACAAGAGACATTGTCAACAAAGCAAAGATTAGTTAGGTAAATGTAAAATTTGAATTTTTTTCCATAAGTTAGTTTTTTTGTAAAATATGTTGTGGATACATAAAATTTTATATGTTATACACACATAAAATTCTGCAAACTCAGGATTATGATTTTAATTACAGTGGAGAAGGGTTCTAATTTTGTTTTTCTAATTGATAAATAGGTCCATAATAATCAAATCATGTATTGAGCCAAAGCTGGCCATGGTCAGGCAATTGGAGGAAGGTCTTGTGCTCTGTGGATTGCTTGAAAGAATACGCAATTGTTCTTCTGTTTTTAAACCACTGTTTGTGGAAGATGACACCTTTGTAATAACTCCAGACAAATTGCTAGACAATTTCAATGTTCATTTTAGTGAAAGGCAACATGAAAAAATGAAAGAATCCACTACATATAAGCACTTTTGTGACTTCATAGAAGAGCTTGGATATGCTGGTAAAGTATTAAGAATTGTAATAACTTTTTGTCTTTCCAACACCAAACTGTTTTGTTTTTTCTTGTAGGTATAAAAGAGCACAATTTAGAATTAAAGCATCTTTTCCGTTTTATGACTGGATCATACACAATGCCCCCCCTAGGATTTTCGGAAGCTATGAAAGTGGAATTTGTTCACGGTTGTCCTGAAAATTGCAAGTGCCGCCCAACAGCATCAACATGCCAACTGTCAATAAATATTCCAGTGCATGCTAATACAGGGGAAATGATGAGAGAGCTGATGACGTCAGCTTTGCTTGAGGGATATGGATTTGGAAAAATATGAGAACAATGCCAGTCAGTCCTGTTTCATCCAAAAGGAAATGTTTTTAAAGATTTTTTCACATACTCTCTGAACTGTTTTGTTGCAATTTGCATCTGCATAATCTATTCCAATGATGAAACTAATATACCAAGGTTTAATTTTGAAAATAATTTGAAAGGGCTTTGGGTTGTGTATTCTTTGCTTATAAGTTATGTATTCTTTCCAATAAGTTGCATGTATTTACATATAGTTGTATCCCATGTTCACTGTCCTCTTCCAAAGGATTCACAGATGTGGATATAAGAGTGACTTGGTCCTGTGTTAAAACAAGACTTGATTCAGGGATTTCAACATGATTAACTGTTTGTATTAGTGGCAAAGGGCCGTCATCATCTAGTCCATAAGTATCAATGTGTAATGTAGTAGGATCAGCAACTTCACGTAAAGTTTCGTGATTGGCATTTGCAAACTTGTAAAAACCTTCAACCCATAACTGATATGGAGTCATGTTGTGTCCAGTGGATAATGGGTGATTGTTCCATTGGGTAACAAAAAGAACTAAAGCTTGATTAATTCTTGGCTTGAACACATAATGAAGTGCAAATAGATGTAGCTCATTCAATGGATCAAGCAGATCAACTGACTCAAGATAATGGAAGAGGTTACTAAAATAACTGGTCACATATGCGTTAACATCTTTCCACAATCTTTCAATTCTTTGATTGTGCACAGATAACCCTGTAATAAATGGTTTAGCATCAATTCCAAAATGATAGAGCATCCAACGAGCAACATCAATATTTTCTGTGCCATGATCACTTCGTACTCTACGAGGGCACTTGTATGTTTGAATACTTTGCAGAAATAACTGAAAGACAGTACTGCTTGTATTGTTTGTTGAACATCTTAAGTAGACAATGGTTCTGGAGAAGCCATCAACACCTCCATGAATCACAAATCTCCAGCGAATCAATTTGTGATTGCCATCAATATGCCTATGTTGAGAATGCATAAATAAATATCAAAAAGGCAAGATCATATGTTTCTTGAATATATTTAATTTTGCACATCATTTTCTGGATTGAAAAGGCTTTTTATTATGTTAGTATTGATGTCTTGTTAACAGTGATATCTTGAGACCTACTGTATTCTAATTTTTATAAAATAGCTCCACACCAATACTCAACACTATATTACCTACCATAGCGCATTTGGAATTGTAACATTATATGTTCGACGATGGATTGATGTTTTTTTCCTTAGTTCTCTGCTCACAGGATCAACTCGTCTGATTGAATTTCGGATCTTTTCTCTCTGCACCTTTAAACCAAATCCTTTCAGTGCACCAAATACCATTCTCTCTCCTGAATTTGCGGAACGATTTAAGATATGTTCTATATTTGCGTCAAGGTCTTCATCACTTATGTCGCTATAGCTCACAGCCTGCCCAATTTCCATGCGAAGTTCTTTTCTTCGTCGCCGTATTGTTCTTTCCGAAACATTAAGCATCGCTGCAATTTTCTTCCAAGAAAAGTGCAAGCTACGCAGTCCATCAATTTGTTCTTTTGTAATAAAAAATCGTGGCCTTCCAGCAGAGCTCATTTCGTTCTCTTCCATTGGGCATACGTATTGATCGTTTTCATTGCCGTTATGAATGCTAAACTGAGTTGAAAGTTTTGCAATTTCATTTTGAAAAACCATAATAACATCTGCGAAAAAATGCACGATTTCATTAGTCCATCCCTGAAAGCGAGATAGTAGACATAGGCCACATAAGTATTCTTCAGAACGAGCTATTATCACCTCAGCCGTAACATTATCTTTCGTAAAAATGTTTCGATGTAGTTCAAACAAACTAAAGCCTCTCGTTAAGAATTCCACAACATCCCGATATTCTGCCATATTTAATATGGAAGGACAGGCAGACAGAAAGGATGGAAGGAACAAGATAACGAGTCATCGACAGTGTTCACGGAAGGCGAAATAAAACGCCGTTTTTTCTTTGATGTCAGTGACAGGGCGCGGTAAAAAATGTCGTTTGTTCGAAGAAAATGTCGTTTTATGAATGTCAATTTCGTTTTATATAAATGAGTTTCGTTTTATAAAAATAATTTTCATAACTTGAAAAATAAATTTCGTTGTATATATATAAATTATGGTAAACGAATTTTTGTTTTCTTTTATATTTTTGCGTTTCGTTTTACAAATATTGAAAAAGTTACCAGTATATTATTTTCGACATACGATAATGTGTTTCGTTGTAAATATTTTCGATTTTGGTAATATTGTCCATCTCGGCGCGCCATAGACAGACATGATAGCCACAGGAACTCAATATACAATTACAAATAAAAACTTTCAATTACAATTATGCAGACAAGCTACATTGCAAATAAAAAGCCCCGATTCAAGAATCAAATATAAATTAGTTTAGTCCAAATTTTATACCAATAACGTCTTCATCTGAAGAACGTTCTTTACGCACATTAGGTCGTTTTATCGCTTCTATCAAATCCGTTGACCATTCTAATAGGAAACTCTTTACTAGAAAATACAGAAATGGAATCACACTAAATATATTTATTACTTTTGTCCTAAATTATAAATTCTTAGGGCAACTGCCGTTCAATATAAGAGACGTTCTAAACATGGATCTCGCATACAATTCAAGGCAAGAAACTATAAAACCCGTAAAATTATATTTGAAGAACGTATTTTACAACAAAACTGTTTCTCACCTCATATGCTTGGTATCCTATCCGATGGCATTAAAAATTTTGTCCATAAGTGAATTTAAATTCGTCAAATTTTCGAAAAACAACTCTTCATAATATTAATCTATATACATTCTGGCCAGTGTATCTGGCTGGAGTAATGATCTAGTACCCATTCTACTAGATACCTGACTCAGCCAAATTTGTATAGTAATGAGTGAGGCAAATTTCTACGCGGCCGCCATTTGCAAAGGTGGCAAAAGCACAATGGCGGCATATAAAAACATTAAGTCTGTGCTGAGAGAAATCGACTTTGAGAGCGTTTTTATGATGCTGTTCTACTGAAGTTGCATTAAAAATGGTGAGTAATTTCTTTAATATTGTTGAAATGTGTAAAATTTTTAAATACTTGAGATAGAGCGGTCTTAACGTGTATTTTGCGACCATAAACTAAAGGCTGAGAGTTACATAAGTATGAACTACTAATCGTGAGTATTTATTAATTTACATCTTTGCTGTTCTCTATGCTTTTTATCGTAAACCAAAAACATATTTACAGAAAAAAAGCGAGAAAATCGCATAACAGCTATCCAGAACTTTGATTTGAACACAATGTTTGCGGTTTATATGAATTATTTTACCTGAACAACATAATTTTAGATCTATTAACAATATGACTGCATCGTTGTAAAAATGCGCGTATCTTCACTATTTACAATAAACCACTATTAATTATTTTTTTAGGATTTACATTTCCTTGGTTGTGGTGTGGATGTTCATCGAAGTCGACTAGATTCCTTGAAATAAAACAAGCTTCGTAGATTGCTGGCGAACACCAATTTTGTTTTTGTGGAGGATATCTTTATTATATTGCTTACCATAGGTCGAAAGTCGTAAATTGATATATTTTTCAATGATCTGTTTGATAAGCTGTGATGAATGTAGATCTTCAGTTATTGCTTCGTGATCAACATCATGCTCGTTGAGTTCAGGAAACAAGCTCTTTTCTGCAAGCTCTTGGTTAATAAGATGAACCATTATAGTCTTCAAGTTTCTCCTGCTGGAAATTTTTTGTTTTTTTGAACGAGTTTCATGAATGAGGACTTGAAAAGCTCTTTCAGATGCAAATATTATTTTGGTCACACCATTAGAAGGGAAAACAAGACCACCACGATTCTTCAAACTGATTAAAGATAAAGATGTAGTACTTTGGAATTGTGAATAATTATGATCATGAACAGATGATGATTTTTTTGACTTAAGCAAAAGAGCTCTTGCACATTCAGTACAGGTGATTCTATTGATTATCTTTTTTACAACAAACCCAGCAATATATCCAAGTATTGCTTCTTTGTATGATGACAGTGAACATGATTCTAATCCAGAAACTAAACTACTGACATATTGTGTGTCCTTTGGTGTCATCTCTTCTACTTCAAAGGCTGGAGCATTTCTTTTATTCCATTTTAATGAAAAATAGAACCAGCAGATTCATTTTCGAAAGTCAAACAGTTTGCATGCTTGGAACCAATGATGGAATTTCTTAAAAGAATTTTTCGTAGACTGGACTTAAATTGTACAATATCTGGATTATTGTTGAAGCCATTCTTACCACGTATGCATGCAAACAGCAGCTCAGGTGGTCTTGGGACATTTGTTTGTCAGAATGTATTTGTCAGAATCTTTTGACCTCGATCTTATTTTTTTTTTTTTTTTTTTTTTTTTTAATTTTTTTTTTTTTTTTTTTTTTTTTTTTTTATTTTTTTTTATTTTTTTTTTTTTTTAGCTTTTTTTAGCTTTTTTAGCTTTTTTAGCTTTTTTACCTTTTTTAGCTTTTTTTAGCTTTTTTTAGCTTTTTTATGCGGTAAGTGGGTTCATGGAAGATGTTCAGGTGTCCGTGGTGCATTGACAAGAGTAACTGATTTTGAGTGCGGGACGTGTCGAAGTGGTGGGCGAGTCGCGATTGAACGGTTTGAACTGGGTGACGTGAGTTTGGAAGGTGTATCGGAGTTTAAATATCTGGGCGATGTGTTAAATGATGGTGGAGGTGCGAGCAAGCGGTGAGGAACAGAGTTCAAGCAGCGTGGTGGAGTTTTAGAGAGTTGTCGGAATGTTGTGCGGAAAGTCGACTTCGTTGAAGCAGAAGGGAGAATTGTATAAGGCATGTGTTAGAAGTGTTTTGGGATATGGAGCAGAGTGTTGGGCGCCGAAAGCAGAGGACCTGAGAAGATTGGCGTCGACGGAAAGGAGAATGCTTAGCATGATGTGTGGTGTAACGTTGATGGATAGGATTCGAAGTGAAGAGATTAGAGAAAGAGTTGGTGTTGAGTGTATCGAGAATTGGGTAAGACGCCAGCGTTTGAGGTGGTTTGGGCATGTGGAAAGGAGGGAAGAAAGTGCTGAAATTCGTAGAACGTTGCATATGAATGTTGATGGAGTCCGCAAACGAGGTAGACCGAGAAAGAGATGGATGGATGTTGTGAACAGTGATATGAAGGCGATGGGTATAACGAGAGATATGGCGAGAGATAGAGATGTGTGGCGTGGAAAAATTCATGGACCGGTCAACCCCCCTGGCGGGGATTAATACTGGCCGGTATATAAATGTTGTTTGTTTGTTTGTTTGTTTGTTTAATCTATTTTAGCTTTTTTCGAAAATTACGCGCTTTGCAGCTAAAATGTGCTTCTTGAACGTTGTTTTAGAGTTGAGGATGTTATACCTGTGTTTGTTTTTAAGATTGATTGCTTTCAACGTTTTTCAACCATATATTTGAGTCAGTTTGACATGTAAACTATACTACCGTATATTGCGTGTTATGTTTTTTGCCACCTTTCAAGATGGCGCCCGCGAATAAAATTTGCCTCACCGTGACAACGGCAGTTAGATATCTAGAGGATTGGGTATAAGTCATTGGGCTGGAGTAATGGCGGACGCAAAAGATGCGCACTTAAGAACTGGGTACAAGTAGGGGACAGATTTTTCGCTGAGTGGCGCTTCTGTATATATCTATTCTGTGCAAGTGTCGCAACTTATATAAGAAAATAATAGGTAATTGTAATTCGAGATTGTAAACTTATGAAAGAACGGAAATAGGAACTTATAAAAAAATTTTATTAGTTGTCACATGTTGAAAGTCAGGCTTCTTTTGTCACTGGCTTTGAATGTAAAAGCTTGAAATGTTTATCTGTGATGTAGAATAGTTCTATCGGAAGAGTTATAAGCAAAATTGAAAATTGTGTGTCGACTGTGCATACAAATCGGATAGCATACAGTCCCAAAAACGAATCGCCAGATGCATAACTGCTTTGTGTTAACGCAACATGATTCTAAAGGCGTATAAAACAGGATGGTGGGGTGGTGGTGCAACTGAGAGGCCTATAGCCCCCTAAAATTTAGGTATAGGCCGTATTCTGTATCACGAAAATGTGCTTAAAAATGATTTCTAAATGCCAAAATTCATGACTACATAAAAATCACAGAAAACTACTTATTTTTACTGACTGAATATGATTCAAGTTGTTTACATCTCTTGAAATTGCAATCTTTGGTGTTTCAGTACTCCAAAGTTTCATAATATTCGTTTAAAGTTTTACTTGTCGCCATCTTGTTTTATTTGTGAAACTGCTGACAATATAGCAAAAATTGCGGGTGCACTGTTACATGATAGCAACTATTATCATGTAATATCATTTATAAACTAGTATTATATTATATTATATTACGAAGCATTCCATATTTTTATATTTTAAATTGAAAATCCATTTTGCAATGTCATTACTAATTAGGACATAATCTAGAAACTTGCTTGCATGCGCTAGAAGCTTGCTTACATGCGTAAACATATTTTGAAACCGCAACCGCATTTGTTGTTATTGTGGTTAACTATATCTTGCTGTAAGATACTGTATTGCGTATGGGATGTAGGTCACAAAACCACAATACTTCCAATTAGATATTATATATTTATGAGTAGTTTACACCACCGAGTAAAACTATTGTGAGTCATTGTTGGACTCACGAACGCTCAAGAATAAAGACTCACGGTTGTACTCAGACAAAGGAGATAAGTTTTATTCATACTTATTGACATTATTATTAAGACACTTATCTACTTTGATATTTACGCGTTGGTTAATAAATTGTTTGATCAAAACAACAAAATGGCGAGCTTGCGGGGATGTGTAATCCATTTTAAAGGTGAAAATGGTCCATTGACTGATTTTACCGAGACATCTTTGAAAAAAGTTTTACATTGTCACGACCTTTGGTTACTATACAATGGTGAGCAGAAAGACATCGCTGAAAAGAACAAAAATTTGATGAAAAAAATTCAGTCCATGAAAAGTCCTTTGGCTGAGTACCTTGGAGAGTTAAAGTACCATAGAAATTGCTATGCAAAGTTCACCAATGTCGGCCTGATTAGACGGGCTGAAAAAGAATGAGCAAAAGTTTGAAGCTTCAACAGCCACTGTCAATGAAAACTATGTACAAGAAAATAAGTCGACAGATGTAAATGAGCCTCACACGAAACTGCTACGATCATCCTCGTTTTGTCATAACAGTCCTAAACCTCCGATAAGAACTAAAGCAGTTTTGCCATCAATATGCATAATATGCAAGCAAGAAAAGTCCTTCGTCACTCAATCGGTAAATAATGTAACAAATAAACCAATATGTTACAGGTATTGCAATACCTGTTTTGTAACAGCGTAATGTTCTGTACTTAATCTACCTACAATATGATTTTACTTTTGTTGTCTTACTGATGGTGAGGAATGTGCAATTACAATTTTTCTTTCAGGGAACTAGAAAACGAGTTCTAGACAAACTAATTACCGCAGAAACGAAAGATGGCGGAAAACTACGTGAAGCTGCAACCAGGAAGAGGACCGAAGAATTCTGGTCCACATATTAGACAAGGAATGTAATGCTCTGGAGTAAAGTATCATAGTAAATGCTACAAAAGCTACACGTCATTTCTTTATAATACTACTTGTGCAAAAAGTCAAATGAAAGTAGTTCTGGTCGCAAATGCTTATATGAAGAGTCATTCGCAGATTTTTGCAAATTTATCAAGAAAGCAATCATAGAAAATCATGAAATCTATTACATGAATATTCTTAAAGATAAGTTTGTCAAAACAGTTAGATGCTTCGA